CGCAGTTTAACCATCTTTTATTTGAGGTAGTTTAGTCCTCATAATGGGCAATAAGTTCTGTGAATTTGGAAATATTTGCTCTTGACTGCTGAAGGGAAACAGAATATTTCAGGGCAACGTAATTTCCCACAACACCCATTTCACGTGGATCACGGAGCGCACCGCTCGATGTAAACAAACTGGCCGCCGCTACCAGCTTATATGGATGTGGAGCGATCACTGGCTGCTCACGGCTGGTTCAGGAGTGTTGGTGAGCCGGGGACACGCTGGACATCAAGTAAACAATGCTGACCTATTCATCAGCTAATCGTGGCTCACAGCTGGCGTGGTGAATGGAGGTGTCACGAGCTCCCGAGCTACTAGTTAGCCATGGAGCCAGGGAGACGCTGTGTATGCTGTGCGTAAACTCCCATGGATTACCAGCAAAAGGAGACCCAAGTCTAAAGGTAACGTTTGAGAAGAAGCCCTCTGAGTCAGAGCGTCTCTGTAACACGTCCAACGCTGATTTAACCACAGGCTAGCGGATGAGCGTGTTGGGCGAGACAGCAGGCTGCAGGAAGAGAGGAGACTTGAGGAGAAATACTTTGGAACAGACACGTTGGGATCGGGTCGGGAGTTCTGGTACTGACACGTTGGGACCGGGTCGGGAGTTCTGGTACTAGGAAAAGACGGATGAACAACTTGAGGTGAGTTTGGGAGTCAGAGACACTAATCGGAGGCTGGCGTCCAGCTAACAGCGGGCGGGGATCTGAACATATGCGGCTTCCTTGTGTTGGACATGATGACGAACTGACACATTTTATGTGTCTTTTTATTTAATAGTTTTTTATTCAAACTAACAAGCACAGCAACGGTGCTTTCTATCTATTCTTTTCTATTTCTCAGTTGAATTACCAGACTCCATGCTTCCAGGGCGCACTGCTGCCCTCTGCTGGTTCTTTCAGGTTACAGTCATAGTCCAAACGGGTGATGTGGAGCTTGTATGTCCCTAAACAGCTACTGTATTTTAAGATGGTGGATGACCATGTAGCGTCGACCACAGTTTATGTATATGGTTTACCATTTTTACTAAGATGTAACTACAACGAGTTTAAAATCCCGCTGAAACTATCACTTTATCACAAGCAAATGTTACTATGCTGGTCACTCATGTACAAACACAACTTTTCACCTCACAAATATTACATTTGGAACAATAATTATATTAAATACAAGAATAAAACACTCTTCAATAAAAATGGTATGATAAAGGCATAATCTTGGTCAGTCAGTTGCTGGATGCAAATGGTAATTTACTGTCATACTCACAATTCATGACTCTTTACCAATTCCCTGTGCCAACCAAAGACTACGCCATTATATTTGATGCAATACCCAGCGGCGTACTTCAACTTCTATCATCAGCATCCAAAGGAAAAGACGTCATCACACCTTCATTTGATCCAAAGAACATTTTTATTGACTCAGTCTACCCTTTTACAAGCAATAAAGTGTCCAACAAAGTAATTAGAAACACGGTTATGAGAACTGTTGTGTCTTCACCAGCATGTATATTTTACTGGTCCAACACCTTTGAAAATATTGAGTGGAAGTGGACATGGTTGCTACCAAGAAAATATTTACTGTTTAACAAAATAAAAGAAATATCATTTAAGATTATTCACAGATGCTATCCGGTTAAAGCTTTTCTACAAAAAAAGATATAAATGGGAAATGGATTGCTTGTGTACTTTCTGTAAAAATGATGATGAATCCCTGTTACACTTGTTCTGGGACTGCACTTATACAAAAATCTTTTGGACTGACCTGATGAATTTTCTAAATAGAAAGAACATAACTTTCTCACTAGAAAAAAGCATATGTTGTTTGGTGTTGAGAAACATGATCTCAAAGAACTCAGAAAAACTATACATCACTAATTTGTTTGTGATATATGGGAAATATCATATCCACACCTCTAAATTTCAGCATCATAAACCCAATTTTAAAGCATTCTTAGCTACTTTAGATATTTATATAAAATGCCTTAAATCTAGTTCCAATTCTAAGGCCATTAGAACGATATCTGCCCTTGAAAAGACTATTATTAATCCTCCTGCATCACTTATCTGTTTTGTAACTCTTTCATTCACTTTCTGTACTCTTTTGCAGTATATTGTAATTTTGTAAATGTACTACTTTCCATAAAAAAGTTTATGTATATAATAGTGTATAATTTCAAGTTGAGAGGAATATTTAGAATTGATGTTGGTGAGAAATATTCGTGGTTCCTGATGTTGTTTCCTGATATTTGAATATCTAGCCTCTGATTGGCTAACAGCAAAACGACTCTACCACTGACTCTTTTTGCTGTGGAATGTTGATGCTTTATCTCCACAGATAACACAAGCTTGAAGGAGTTCCGCTGTGTGGTGGAGTTGCTAATGCTAACAGTTAGCTTCTACTAGCCAAGACGTTCTCTGCCGTTTGTTGGAAGTTAAACCAATAAAAGCCTTCCCCTTCGTGAGCCAAGATGGGCGAGTCCATGAAGGTTAAGTGACATAGATCTGTCAGGATTTTCAAATCCTTGTGTGTATTTTCTGTCAGAAGCTAATGCAGGAGATAGGTGTGAAAGACTAATTTCATCAAAAAAAATTTTTTTCCATGAAGCTGACCTTAAAGAGAGATCTGTAAGACCCAAACCTGAACAACAGAAATAGCCGCTGTCCGTTACATCTGGAGTGAAACCAACTCTGCATTTAAGAAAACCAACATCAGACAGTCAGACATGGTAGTGGTAGCACAAATGGGCTGGGATGACTTTGCTGCTTCAGGACCTGGAACATTGATAGAACCATGAGTTCTGAGACCATCCTGAAGAAGAATGTATGACCCTGGACCCCAGTTCATGCAGGAAAGCCCTCTGACATGGCTGAATTCAAACTGTTCTGTAATGAGAAGTGGGACAAAATTCGTCAGAGATGTGAGACACTCACAAACATTAGTTGTCGTCACCCGTCAGAAGGTTTCACCCACTTAAGATCAGGAGTCAATTACATTTTACGTGAGACCAGGCAGCGTTTTCTCTTCATAAATGACAATTGTTTGAAAACTGCTTTTTCCTTTGCTTCTTTTCTGATACATAAAAGCATTTGCTGCTCTGAAACATTTAAGTTTACCAGTAAAGAAGAATATATCCACGAGGGGGCAAAAGCTTTTTCACAGCAGCATCTGCAGGATGATGGAGACACAAACACATGAATATTTCTGCTCCTATTACTCTGGTTTATGTTATTGTAAATGTGTCCCGGTGAGTTTGAGATGAAAATGAGGACGGCTTCCAGTTTGGCTAAATGCACCTCAGCAGACGTTAGCTCTATCTGTCAAACAATAGGATGATGTACACTGAAAACACATTCCCTTCCTTCTGGCACTCACATCTATCACCACTTTATGGCCACTCTCCCACGCTGGCACATTTCTGCCACCACATCCATCTATTTCACTGTCTTGACTTGCATATTCACAGGCTTGACTTGCTTCTTTCAAAGTGTTAAATTGTAATCTTGATTATTTTAAGCAATTAAAGTCTGAACCTAATAAAAATGTCATAATTTTGACGAGCATGTTGGTAACTTTTTGTATTTTTTCACCAGGTGACATAAATCTGCTTCATCTTAAAATGACTTAATTATATTTAAAACCAAATCTGCACATTTCCTCTGAAGGCTGTTGCAGTGTGCAGGATGTATTTGTATCTGGATGCAGAAATGACAAGTATTAATGGCCTTTTTATTCAGTTTTAATGTGTTTGAAAGCAAATCGGAGAGGAAATCTGCACCTGAGTCCTATTCAGGGGGTGTGAGAAAAGGCAAAAGCTCCTTTAATACAGAGCAGATGCTTGTTCGCTGTGTGTGAGGAGCAGGTGGGAGAAGATCTAAATGACCCAGCAGCAGCAGCAGCAGCAGCAGCAGCAGCAGCAGCAGCAGCAGCAGCAGCAGCAGCAGCAGCAGCAGCAGCAGCAGCAGCAGCAGCAGCAGCACACTGGAGCAACCCCAGTGCTGCTTATCACAGAACTGCAGTGAAAGACATGTCCTCACAGCAGCCTCCTCTGGTCTCCAAATACTGAGCTTTGGTCACACTCTCCATGTATTTATATGTTGGTATCCTCTTCACTGGCTAATAAGGCTCTTTTACATGTGCTGCAACAAGTCTCCAAGCTGCACCAGAACTTTGTTGGAGAGAAATAAGCTCCTCCAGTGAGGTGCATCTAGGCTTTCCTGGAGCTGAGATATTTTCCTTGATTCCTAAAAGAAAAAATAAATCACAGCAGAACTGGTGGAGTCACTTTTATTTTATACAAATGAAAGTGAATAAAAAATGAGTTTAAAGCCTGCTCATCTGCTCAGCAGGAGCTCCAACAAAGTGGGCCTAAATAAGTGGAAACCCCGCAAATTCTGACGCAACTGGACTGCAAGAAGGAGTCATTCACCTTTGGTTTTGTGTGACTACTCTTTACCATCAGAGGGCACTAAAATCCACACGATGCGTTCACTGACCCTCAGATTTAAAGCGGAGAGCTTTTAAAATACTCAGAAAAAACAGTTTTAAGTTTTTTATTTTCAACATTATGGAAAAACACCATATCGTCAGCCACGTCGTTAATAAGCTGCAATGATGGAAGAGATGAAACTAACCAACTGATGAACACACACACACACACACACACACACACACACACACACACACACACACACACACACACACACACACACACACACACACACACACACACACACACACACACACACACACACACACACACACACACACACACACACACTTCGGTTTCCTGCATCATTCGGACTCCGGACAGACAATCAGGTGGTTAAAGTGATTAAAGTTGCTCTGTACTCTTCTGGAATCATCGCGGCTCCGAGACACCCCCCCCCACACACACACACACACGCGCGCGCGCGCGCGCAAGCAGGGTTAATCTGGACGCGGCTTCCTGAGCGGATGAACTGTGACACATGACGAGTTGAGCGCCCTGAAGGCTGCGCACGAGACAGTCGTTGAGCTGCAAACGCGCACCGCGGAGTCCCAGGAGCGGCGGCAGACTTCGGGAAACCGACGGATCTACAAACCATTTACGTTTCCCTTCTGTCTCCGGGATCTTTACGCGCAACTTTTACGCACAGCCGAGGCGCTGCCAAAGAGCGCGGATCTGGATCTTTCCTGAAACGCGGGGCACATCTCTACTCCCACAGGTGTGATGGTGAGGATGGTGATGATGAGTGCGCGGATGAAAACGATCTACTGAACGCAAACGGCTGAAGATGGAAACCTGTCTGGACCAGCGAGCCGCGCTGCGTAAAAAAATGCGCTCTCAGAGGAGGATTTGGATGCTTTTACAGATAGTCCTTGCAACTATCACAGCAGTATCCACCCAAGGTAGGCAAGCTGGAGCTGACTGTTTCCTTTTGATGGCTTTCTTTCTTTATTCTAAGCTGAAACGAGAGATTCAGAGAAGTCCCTCTGACCTCCTGAGGTTGACCCATCCCCTGACAGGAGTCTGCCTCTCACAGCTTTTATAGCGATCATCGTTAGAAGTTTCAATAATGAATAAATGTCCTATTTTCGCCACAAACTTTCATCTCACTCTGCAGTGATGTGGTGCTCCAGCGAGCCTAAACTAAGCATAATTGTGCGACTTACTAGAGGCACAGAAAGGATGTCAAAGCAGTGAGAGAGGACATTAAACATTTAGGATGGAGCCAACCAGGAGTTTTGGGTTTGTTTTCAAATCTGAGCTTTGTTTATCTACTCTGATGTCTGCTGGGTGCACACACAGGAAACAAGAAAGTGTGTGTGTGTGTGTGTGTGTGTGTGCGCGCGCGCGCGTGTGTGTGTGTGTGTGTGTTTGGGGGGGCATCACAAAGGCATTAACTGTGAAGCTTAGAAGGCCTTTTGTGGTGAAGGCAGGGTGTTTGACAGGATGACTAAAACTGAGAAAACTGATTTTTTTTACATAAAGAAGCTTTAAGAGTTTCACTGGAAGCAGCAATCCCAACAATCACAGCTTCAGCTTAAGCCGCCCTCAATCTCTCCCACCTCTCTCACTGTCTTCACTGCTCTGACCTCATGTACTGCAGGTTCCATCATCCATCACTCTGCATGTTGCTCCCCTAAAACATGACACAAGTGTTGGTACGAGGGTAAGAGATGTCTGGAGCTTCAACCTTCTGTCTGGGGAAAAACCCGACCTGCGCACGCGCGCGCACACACACACACACACACACACACACACACACACACACACACACACACACACACACACACACACACACATACACACACACACACACACACACACACACACACACACACACATACACACACACACACACACACACACACACACACACACACACACACACACACACACATACACACACACACACACACACACACACACACACACATACACACACACACACACACACACACACACACAAATGAAAACAAATCCTATTGGTGCTATTTTACTTCTGTCTCTTATCTTGAATGAGATATTGGAACGACATCCCACATCTGTGTCTCTGAGGCAGTACAGGTAGACCAGAGCGAATCCAGATCCAGATGCATGTTAATAATTAACAACAAAACTTTAACTTTCCGCAACGAAAGTTCGGAATAATACAAGATCCTCTTCCTGTGTCACGTGCTGATCATCTCACAAGCATCATCAGTGAGCATCAAATGTGCTGGGAAAGGTCAGCTGATCAAAACATTAAAATCATCTCAGCTGCAGGTAGATAATTAGCTTCAGTAGCATCAGAGCTGCTGCCAACAGGTTTTATTATTTCTGAACCCATGCTGATATTTGACCATCATCTGATCTAAAGTAACACCTGAAGCCGCACGGAGGCAAGGAGAGGTTTCAGGTAAAAATAGATCTTTTCATCTCCCAATCACTAATTAAAATGCAGACACCCATCGCCTTTTGTGATGTTGCTGGGAATGTGAAGATGTGTTGCACATATGGTGAAAGCTATTAGTGCGCATTAGAATTCACTTTGGATGCTCAGGCTTTGTGCGTTTTGATAGAATAATACAACAATTTATTACAAGTGAGAAACTATGCTTAAAGACACTGTGGAGCAGTATACTTAGATGCTGCAGAGTAGTATTTTTAGCATGTTTATATAAAATGGAGATGTGGAATAAATATGTAATTACCGTAAATCCTCTAATACAGGCCCGGGCCTGTATTTGACTCAAGCTCATCAAGCCCCAGGCCTTTATTGGAAGGAGGGCCAGAATTAGAGGCAGACCTCAATTTCTATTTGAGCAAAATGAACTAATGGTTCGCTGGAGTTTTTGACAATTAAAATTGCGCCCACATTTTCAAAGTTAAACACATTTCTTTTAACAACGGTAGTTTCTGCTTCAGCCCTCTCCCCCCTCCTCCTACGCAGCGGCCGCAAACTCACTGATACACCTGCAGCCTCTCAGAGTTCCTGCTGCTCTAAACATTAAAATAATTATTTCATTTTCTGTTCCTCACTTCTGATTATCTTCAATGGTGTCTGTTTGTTGCAACCACCAGGTACAACTTGTTTTTATTTGACTATTGTTCTGTCCTGTATCTGTTTATTATCTTCCTGCATCTCCTCTCAATCCTAAAGAAAAACTGCTACCTGGGTTCATATATATTCACCTTATGAGTTACCTTTGAACTGCAGTTCTAAAAGATCTACCGACCGCAAAAACAGCGGAGTGCTCGCTGCTTGCCGGCCGCATCAGTTAGGTGCATCACTGGATGACAAGGTGATGTGCCCCGCTCCACAGCAGCGAAATGCATCAGGCGCAAATAAATACAGAAAACATTAAAGGAAATGAACCGACATGAACAATCGCGTGTTAAATAATTTTTTGAGGTGGCGACACCTGATTGTTACTGTGGCCGTGCTCAGGAGGTAGATCTGCTGACCGCAAAAACAGCGGAGTGCTCGCTGCTTGCCGGCCGCATCAGTGATCTGTGCGTCACTGGATGACAAGGTGATGCGCCTCGCTCCACAGCAGCGAAACACATCAGGTGCAAATAAAAGACAGAAAATATTAAAGGAAATGAACTGACATGAACGATCGCGTGTCAGTACCGACGCTCTGGCACAGCGCGTTCCCCCCCCGAGCGCAGGAGCTTGTCACCTGCTGACAGCAGGCTGCTGTCTTTTCCGAGGGCTGCATCTTGCCGGTCATTATCACGTGACAGCGACTAGTCGACGACAGGCATAAAATGTCATAGTGAAGTTGACTAGTTCATACAACCCCTGCTACTCCCCAGAGTGTTCTGCAGCATAATCAGCACGTTCTCTTTGAAATTGATATCAAATTTTCGCCTCCTCTTCGTCTCCGCACGGTTAAAGTTACCCTCGCGGTCTATCACTGGCAAATCAAAAGTGAGACACCGGCCAAAATTGGAGACCCGGCCTTTAATTGAATACCGGCCTGTATTAGAGGATTTACGGTATCTAAAAGTAGATGCTTGGATGTCCTGCAAGGTTTTAACGTTTTTGGAGCAATAAGGTGAATTTAAAAATCAAACAAAACAAAATAAGAGTTGGTATGAAAACACGATCTTACAAAGCCATTTGAAATCTCAAGTTCGTTTGCTGCCTCCAGATGCCGTGTGTTCAAATAACGTCTAAAGAATAAATCAGATGTAATGGACCGTTTTCATCTGCGCAGAGAAAGGTGATCAAAGATTGTGTCAGCGTGGAAATGCTTGCATAAACAGCTTAATAAGAAAGCATTCCAACAGCTTCTTGGCTCGACTGAAGAAGGTGTTTTTCAGAACAAGAGATCTGAGAGGCTTCAGGACCAAAGTCATGATAAAAGTTTTATGCGTTTTATTGATTAATATCTAAAATAATTGCCAGAAAACAAATATAAAGAGTTTATCTCCGAGCTAGGCCAATTCTGCACCCAAACAGGTTTTAATTTAAATGCTCTTCAGCCATGCAGAAACTAAAAGCATCTGACATGATCAGGATGATGCATGACACCCGACTGCAGAGCTGTTTTCCCAACCTCGGACAAAGTAAGCTAGTTTTTTTTTTTTTTACAAAAGGACCTCCTGCCAGCTCTGATATCAAATGGCACATCTGTCACTGTGGCCACTGGCAGGCTCCAGTCTCTCCTTCATCCACTGTGTCGCCCACTCGGTGAACATGAATGAAACTCCAGTCTGTGTAGGCAAGGAGGAAAAAGACACATGCTGCTGTCTTCCTCCGAGAGCCTGCGGCTTGATGCGGCTCTGACACGTACAGCATAGTCACCGCTGTGCCGCTCTTCGGCTTTCTCCATGGGCTTCAGCTGGAGTGGATGGATGTAGATGAAAAGCAGCAAAGATAGAAGGATGACAGACTCATCAAATGCCAGCAGCCATGAGGGGACCCGACCAATCATTCTGAGTAAAAAAAATGCTTTAAGCCTTCTAAAATGATGAACAACAATTAATAATTTAGATATAAACAGCACTGTGTGTGTCATCTTTTTTCATTTCACCCATTTGTTTTTTTCTGTGATACTTTGAGTTTTACTCGATTTACCAGTCGATCTACATCCCAGAAGTTACATTTTATTATCAGATTGAAACTTTCTGATTCAAGTCAGGGAAAGTAAGTCATCCATGAGAGAAATGAAACCAGGGTAAAACCTGAAATTCATTTGCAGCAGTTTCCTAATGTTGTGATTTCTCACACATATGGCAATAAAAGCCTACTGATTCTGAAATGGTAACATTCCTTTGAGGTTCTGGTTTAATCATAATATCTGAACCAAAAAACAAAAACATCAAACAAATTCTAAAAATACTCATAATTTTGACCTAAAGATTTGTGTGTCTTGTTTATTGATGGAGGCTGTCATTCAATTACAGAGATGCTCATTTTAAAAGGTCTTTAATGTTTGTTTTTTTGGGCTAATTGACTTTATAAAAATCTCATTCCGGAAAAACAAAAGACAGAAAATCAACTTTGTCATCTTTATAAAGCACCAACTCGTTGTTGGCAGCTGAACAAACTGTTCCATGTATAATTCCAGTTTGACAGGGACAAACTTCCTTCTTCCAGCTGCTCCCTTTAGGAATCATCTGCTTCCATCTCATTCTCCATCACTCCGATCCTCCTTCTCCATGATTCCGCTCTGTAGCTTTCCTCCCATCCCCCATACTCAGCATCCTTTGTCTGCTCCTGTAACTCAGCTTTAACAGCACGTTCACTTGAGGTGAACTCTAGAAATTCCATTACAAAATTGACATTTAGGGCGAAACACAAAGTTTTCCTCGTTCATGTTGTCACTCTTTGTTAATGGGAAAGCTAAAGGTTTAAGGTTAAGCTCAGAAGCTTTTTTAAATCTTTGATGCCACACTCAGCTGATCATTTGTCCTCAGGCGGCCCAAAGTTCTGTCCATGTTTTATTTCGCAAATGCTGATGAGAATTCAAATCTTCAGTTATGTTATTGGTCCAAGAAGTGTGGCTATTAGACTCTGGGAGCAACAAGCTGATTTTCATATTTTCATCCCACAGATTTGAGCAGCAAAGAAATGACGGACAGCCGGAGTCCTGTGCCTTTACCCGTCTTCCTGCCGGTCAGCTATGAGGTACAAGATGCTGACTACCTCTTCCTTAAGGAGGCCGGACAGGACTTCATGAGGAATTCCAGCATGCAGAGTCACACGCAGCCCTTTGTTATTTTAAGAGCCAGCCGGCAGCCAGCTGTCAGTGCCAGCTATGGAGCTATGTACACAGAGAGGCTTGTGCCTCTGGATCTGGTCCAGTCTGTGCAGCTCTTCAATGCCCCGGGCGTCTTCACATTCAACTGGAAGATCCAGGCCTTTGTGCTGACGCCTCGGGTTTTCTCTTCCAAACCTAACGTTCGGGTTCTCTTCTATGTAGCAGGGAGGGACTGGAGCAAGGGTGAGAGCGCCGAGGATGAGCTACCGTGTGTGACAGTTTACGCTTTCTGGCAAACGCAGGAAGTGAGGGGCTCCTGCGCCGTTGGAGGTGAGAGGGGAACCTGTATGGCCGAGCTGGTTCCCGTGCCTGGCTGGTTTGCTCTTGGGTCAGAGGGCACCAGCAGGGAGAGGCAGGATCCTTCAGCTGGGAACTCAGTGGAGCTGTACTACCAGGCTCAGCCCAGAGTCAATGGGAAGTGTAATACTGGGAATGGAAGTCGTTGGAGCAGCTCCCAGCAGCAGACTGAGAACATTCCCGTTACTCCTATGCAGAGGATTGGAAGTGTGAATCTTCTGCAGGTTCCCAAGGGAATGGCAACCCTTTCCAGGCTCAAACTTGGAAACGCCATCGTGATACGGACATCCTCCAAACCTCTGAAGAAGACTGACATTGCCACTTTCTACATTCTGATGGCCAGCTCTGCTCAGCTGACCAACTTCACCCTCAGGTACGGCCCTGTGTCCCTGCAGGGATGTGAATGAGTACAGTATGAGGTACTATAGTGATGTCATTTCAGTAAAGTGCCACTGACAGTATTAGTCGTCTCCCCTAATTCTTACACTAATCCCATGGCATCAGGAATAAGGCCACATCAGGGGCAGTGGGATGCAACGTGGATTACAGCATTTCTCTGAAAATATCACAGTGGTCTTTCTGAGAAATACCATAGATTATGTGCTTCAGCGCAGCCTGATGACATTACTTTTGCTTCAAGAGCGGGGGCCATCAAGGTTGACATGGATCAGAAAAAAAAACGTGTGACTTTTCATGTCTGGGCTGTAGTGGCACTCCACTCCTGAACGTATGAAGGCGAAGATTAGTGATGCAAACCAGTAAATCATAAATTCATGTCCCTAAAAGTGAGAAAACAGAAATGTTGTTTTTAAAGAAAGTACCCTTTAAACTTTTTAGTAGACAGCTGTTACAGATGTCTCGTGTTTGTGCTGAGAAAAGTGATTCAAACCAGCACGGCTTTAAGTCAAAAGTAATTACCCTCTAAACTTAATAACTGGTTGGAACGCCCTCGGAGGAAACTGCAATCAGGCTTTTGTGATAACCGGTAATGAGTCTCTCACACCTCTGGAGGAATGCTGTCTCATTCTTTTTAAGAAAATAGCTTTAATTCAGACTCATCAGAGGGTGTTCCAGCATAAAGGATTCGTTAAAGGTCAACGGTCAGGATGTTCTGTTAGAGAGCAGAATTCCAGGTTCCATCAGTTGCAGCAAGTGGTCCTGGTCCTGAAGCAGCAGATCAGCCTCAGACCTTTACACTACCACCACCACGTCTGACGGCATGGTGCTGTTTTACTCCTGAGGAAATGGGACACACTTTCAAGGTCCACTTGTCTCATCAGTCCACAGAATATTAACCCAAAGGTCACGGAGGTCATCCAGATGTTTTAGGTGAATGTAAGGCAGGTCTTTGTGCTGTTCATGGTCAGCAGATCTTTTAGCATCAGATCTCTGACTTTAACCTGAACCAAGTGAGGCCTGCAGTACTTTAGATGTTGTTCTTGGTTCTTTTCATTCTTAAGAATGAGGATTGACGCTCTGCTTTTTGAGATCGTTTAGCCTTCGTGTTGTTCTATGATTGTTTGATTCTACAGGTCTGTATGCGATCAGGTCTGGGTGTAGCCGCTGAAACTGAGCTCAGCTTTAATGCTAATGTAGTTAATCACAATTTATGTGTGATTCAACAAAAAACTGAATCGTATATTATGTAAAAAGTACTTTTCAGAAAGGTTCAGGTTGGTTTGGAGGGGTTTCAACTGCTTCATAAATGAAATCGACCTTTGAAAAGTTCACTTTTTATTTACTCGGCTCATCTTTTTCTGAGCTGAAACATTAAGGTTTGCCCCCCCCCCCCCCCCCCAACAAACTAAAAACAAAAGAAATCTGTCAGAGTGGAAGAACTTCATCACAGCACTCATGATCTCAACCTTTAAATGGAAATATAGTTGCAAAAGAAAGTATAGAAACTTGTTCTTTTTAGAACAGAGGGAGTTTGTTGCTCCACTGTCTTGGGGAGATGATGCAACATGGGAGATAAGCACCTCGAAACTGGAAGTAAAGTAAATGAAAAGCCTCCAGCCAGCTCTCACGGTCTCATTAATGTTTCCATGGTCATCTGAAGCCTTTTGTTGTCATCATCCTGATGGAGATCAAACACAAGCCCACGCCAGCAGAGCTGGATTCACCGAGGTTAGCTGTCAGAGCGGGCGAGCAGGGATGTGCACCAAACTGATTACAAACTGATTTTTTTGTTATTATTCAAGACACTATCTGTTTGACTCAGAGCAGTTGAATAATGATCTGCCAGGAGGCATGGAAGGCTTTTTCTCTTACTACTATTAATTAGATTTGTTTGAGCGTGTCATAAATCTGTCTGAGTTCCTGAGCGATGTCCAGGATAACTTAAAGCCTGGCCAAACAAAGAAAAGTCCATAAAGGCTGAAGTTTAAAAGTGAAGGGATTCCTGGACAATAGTCATAGTCTGTTCTTATTTACTAAAAGAATAACTGCAGGATTCCATCAGTGCATGCAGAGAAAAAACAATCGAGTTAGTTCCACCTGGACTTGCTTTGGATGAGGAGGCAGTCCTGAATTATTAAATCTCTGTTTCATTTCATTTGTAAATGTTAAAAATGGTAAATATTGCCTGAGTGGACACCCCTCCACAGATCTTCATGAGTGCATAAAACCCCCTCAGGTGAAACATTGCAAGTTTCACTTTTACTTTTCTGATGTCTCGTTGAGCCCGTGCTGGTAGTTTTAAAGGTCAGGCCTTGTATTCGTCTTAATTATCAGGTTTTCTTTTCCTCCTGTCACTTTGCAGAAGCAATGAAGCCAAAAACAAAAAGCCAATTTCCTTTTTTATTCACCCTGTCGTCTTTAATCATTGTCGCTTTAACTCATTTACTTAATCATCCATAGGAACATGGATGCCACCTCACTTCCTCTTCCCTTTTAGTTCAGTTCCTGCCTTCTCATCAATTTGGTTTTAATTAGAAGATTTTTCCTAGTGACTTAAATCAGTTCAGTTCTGTCAGCTAGACTCAGAAATTCCATGTTGCATCCCAGGAGCGCCGCAGATGCTCTGTTTTCCTGTCTGTTGCGTAGTAACACTGCGGCCTTTACCCGGCTTATCTGCATATTAACAAGCTGTGTGCACCCAGACTTCAACAGCTGTCTGTGTGCTTTATCACTGTCTGAATGTCCCATTAAGCTCTCCCTAATATTCTCTCATCAGCATGATTAACCTGTTAGTGATATGGCCAGAGTAAAGGGTAAAGGACCAGCAACCTTTTGTTTTTTCAGAGCCGTACGTCTGTGTGAGGCTTTGACTAAGGTTATAAACCGACAGGAGGTGGAATTTTATCCTTTCTAATTATTCAAACTTATCTCGGTGCAACCCTCAAATGGTAAACTACTATCAAACTTTTGCTTTTCCATAAAAATGTTTGAGTAAGCTTTTCAACCTGGAGACCTAATCCTTCATCCCTCCAACAAATAAGGCTTTTACATTCATTCAGAGGGCTGCAGTGTTTGCCATCTGGCAGCGACGTTGGCATGAACGCACCCTCCTCCAACTCCCTGAACTGCTCTATGCGATCGACGAGCACGCTGCTAATGGCTGGCCATCAGACTGGCTAAACGTCGGACATTTGCCTGCATAATTAATGGCTGCATCTGTTTATGATTGCATCAGGGTTCACAGGCGCCGCTTTGGCCCTCGCAGTGATGCACAAAGATCACAAAGTTAAAGATGGAAACATAAAAAATGAACACAGAAGCAATTAATAATCCCATGCAGCATCTTCACTGTGATGGGATGCATGTGAGTCTGGGCCACATGGAGGAATCGGTCCAGCTTTTTTTATGTAACTAGATATCCTTTGCAATCAGTCGATACAAATCCTAGGTCTATGAAGACTTTATTAGGCAACCCCTGCTCCTCGCAGCTCAGTATGCAGAGGTGTTTCTTTGTGGCAGGGCACCGACTCAGAGGCCATTACTGGGTGAACTACCCCCATAAGCTTCTGCATTATTACATGGAAAATGCCATCTTTCTTAGCAGACGAATTATAGCAGAATAAAGGCTTTAAGTTTGTCCTGATTGAAAACAAACTGCAGAATCACAATGCAATTAGGATTCTCGACAGTAGGCAGTAGTATTGCAATTTCATCTAAAAAAGGATTACTCATGTTGGTTAAACTAATGCTGAGCTAGGCAGCGTGGTGCAGAAGGGAAAGATTTACACAGCCAACCTTTGATTAATATTGCATGTGTTAATTTGGATTGGTTGCATGGGGGTGGTGTCCTGTGTGGCTTTCTACCAGGTATATATAATGTAACCGCAAGCTGAAATAACTAGGGAACACACACATTTCTGTACAACATAAAAACAGTCTCCTACACCTATCTCCTGCATTAGCTTCTTACAGGAAATAGACAGTGAAATGCTAGGATTTGAAAATTCTTACATTTTAATGTCACAATGTGAATTTGCATCCATGGCCCTGCCCATTTAGGCTCAAGCCAGCCCACAGTAAGACTTAACAATTTTTTTCTTTTTTTTTTTTTTGCATCAAGGAAAGAGAGCCAAGAGTGTCTTGGTGACTATGCAACATGGCTGAACACATTCTGGTGGCCAATCAAAAGCGAGGTGTGTGCGTATCATACAATGAACAATCCTGCTGCTTTCAGCCCACCTCTGCGACAGCACACTTCTGCATCTCAGAACAGGAGCATCATAGCTTTTTTAATGCTCATGATGCATTGATTTACACTATGTATTGAATAAACGAGTAAAACACACCTTTAAAGCAAATCAGAAACCTGCAGAAGTCTGACATCCGAACATCACCCGTTGCTCTACTTGTTTAGACCTGATTGAGTGTTTTTCATCTCTGTTGTTGCCTCCTGGGAAGTTGCTGGCTGATAACAATTATCCCCTTCTCTTATACTCCTCCAGTCAATGTTAATCACAGATTCAGGATCCAAACAGAGAGACAGACCTTTGTCTGCATCAGTGACTTTCCTCTGGTGATTGATTTACTATTCAAAGATAAAGACGACTGAATAAATCAGTTTTTTCTTCCTGACGTTCACCACATTTGTGGTACAACCTGCTGGATTCCAAAGGAAAAGGCCAAGTTTGTGATAGATCATAGTATTTTCTCTAATCTAACAAAAACACGAAGCCATATTTTTCTCAAGAAGCCTTACATTAGACTAAACGATCCCCTCATAGCCTTGACCTCTTGTTAATCAAAGTAATCAGCTTCTGCTGTGAGCAGGTAGAAAGGAAACAGTCGGTCTGCAGGGTCATAAAGGGACATGCCCACACTCATACAAATAAACCAATTATTCCTTTGTAATTGAAGCCTTTAATCAATGAAATCTTCATCTACTTTAACTTTAAACTTCTGATTCATTCATAGAGAAAAGAAAAACACGTGCCACAAGTTCCTCCTGATGTTACAACAGCAGGTTGTAACAAACAATGACAAACCACAAAGGTGTTGGAAATAGACTCTCTGTCATCTACTAAATGATAGATGTGCAGATCAAACTCTTGGTAAAAAGTCAGAAACTAATGAGCACCAGTTGGTCTGACTTTGAACCAAAAGTTTGCTCACACAAACAATGGTTATCTCTGACTGTGTTGAACAGAACCAACATTTCATTTTCTTTTCCTGATTTTGGAAACTAAAACCAAAGCCAAAAGCAGGCGAAGTGCTCGGATTGCTGCTGCTCTTATCATAGATTACACTTCCTTAGAGACTCATAATGCTCTCAACTCTTGTGTTTATCTCCAAGATTGGGAGATAAACCACACAGCTTTACAGCCAGATCAAAACCAAAGAATTATACATAAATTTGTTTTTTCCTTTGGTCTGTCTGAAACAACCTGCTATGGGACTTCTAAGAGCTTTACAAAAACACACAAAGAGTCCCGTCACATTGAGAGCCAGGGGAGTTGGACCCAAAATGCAGATACCCAGAACGACACGAAGCAGGAGCGGATGTGAAAGAAAACATTCCTTTCGTAGGATGAAAAATATAAATAAAATCCAAACAGGGCACGAAGCCAAATAACCTAGAGAAGGAGGGGGGACAAAACAACAATGACACGAACAATGGACCAACAAACACAGAAAGACAGGACAGGGTTTTATACTCAGGGGCTGGGTGATCAGCAGGATTGGGCACAGGTGATACCAATAACCAAGAGGAGCAGAACAGGGCAGGTGAGGAAAACCCTAACTAAAACCTGTTAAACAAAGCTACTAAACTGAATAACTTAAAACACTTGTAGAAATAAGACACTGGAGAACTAAAGAAAACAAAACTAATGATCTAGGAGTAAGAGAACCAAAAACACTGGAAGACAGGGGAGGATGATACCTAAAGGGAGAGACGAACTAAACAATCTACAATAACAGAAAACTAATGATAAGAAAAGTGACTAAGGGAAACATGAGGGAAACCTGGAGAGAACCTGGTGGGGGCTGGGGACAACAGGAAGGCACCTGAGGGGGGATGCAGACAAGGAGACACGAGGAACACAAGGAGACACATAAGGTGAACCTAGAGAGGGATGGAGAACACGAGGAGACACATGAGGGAGACGCAGAACGCGGACCATGGCAGTACCACCCCTCAAGAGGCAGATACCAGATGCCCACAGGACACACACAAAGCGAAAGACAAGGGGACTAGGGACCAGGAGAGTCTGGGAGGTCGGAGACGGGGAACCAGGAGTCGGGGCACAGGAGACTCAAGAGGCTGAGGGGACGAAGACTCAGGAGGCTTAGGGGACGAGAACTCTGGTGGAGGATGACGAGGGGACTCTGTTGGAGGATGACGAGGGGACTCTGGTGGAGGATGACGAGGGGACTCTGGTGGAGGATGAAGAGGGGACTCTGCAGGTGGGACAATGGAGACGAAAACTCGCCGGACACATAAGGGGAACCTAGAGAGGGATGAAGAACACAAGGATACACATGACGGAGATGTAGAACGCAGACCATGACAAGGCCATGCATATGGAATTTCATTACTGCAGCAGCAGGTTGCAGGTTTATTTCTTTATTTTTGGTAATTTTATTTGCATGCATCTCCTGACCCATACAATTCCTACAGAAGACTATCTCATTAACACTTGACCCAGTGCACACTGCTCACGCTGAGGAAAGCCCGTCAGACTGCATTTACAACCTAATGACTCATCAGCACATTTTAAACTATCAGAGCACAGAAAGGTAAACAGATCAAGTGCTGGATTTTCTATAAATCAAACAAAAGTTTTATTTTAGAGAACACAGGCATTACATTTAGTACACATACATATGAAAGAACTTCACATTGACCCTATTTTTGACCTTTTCATGTATGACTTTTCTTTCAGAGCATCGGTAAAGAAAGGCGTGACCTTTCGAACAGCAACTCCCAGTAACTCTCTCCTGTGGGACATCACTCTGGATTTGGGTGCAGATGGAGCCATCGCTGCTATTTGTCAAAGGAAAGCTCCCATACCAGGAAAAAGGCGAGTTAGAAAAGTTGGACTGAATAATCTATGTGTCAAATTTTTGCATCTTTGTATTATCCCATTGCTAACAGTAACCCTTAAAAAGCCTGGGGGGGTGGGGGGAGGAGTCTGACACCAGCCTGGTACGCACTGTGCCGTGTCCCAGAAGGACATTTGCTATATCCCTAAAGCACAGGTTGGTTGCAGGTGCTCCTTACAAATGGACATTGCAGCTTTTACATTTATTGCCCACTTTTTCCTTGTACTGTTATAATTTATAAACTTTTACCAGTTGGATATGTCCATGAATCGCTGCCATGTGGTAGAACACATTTTACCAGGGGACCTAAAAGGATTGCAGGACTATAGTAAAACATGACTGTAACATTAAAACTATTCACAAGACATTTGCAGGTTGTTTTGCTCAAACCTCAATCTTACATTGCATTAAACAAGACTACAGCTTATCTTAGGCATCTTTTTCTAGTTCAGCAGCTATAGTACCCTAGTTCAGTTTGTTGTTAGTTTAGTGGTATTTTAATTAGCCATGTTGGGCTGTTAGAGCTTCAACCATTTTTCAAACCATTTTCTACCTCAACTATCAACAACATCCTGGATTTCATCATTCTGATTTAAATTCAGAGATCTCACAGTTGTAGCAGTGTTCCTGTCCTGTTATTGGGGCTGAACATTTCTAAATTTCTTTACAAGCTAAACAAATGTAAGTATGGTTGGGTAGATTTGTACAAAACAAAGGAATAACTGGTAATAAAAAAAACTCACAAAATAGTTTGGATTTGAGTTTGTATTCAAAGACAGATGGAGATTTATTCATCTATAATGCAGAAAGTTCCCTAATATAGAAGCTTTAATGGAGAAGGTCTGATTTTAATGAAGCGATTGATTTGTCAACTGGAGACGGTTAGCTGCCGATGGATCTTAATGGTGAAGAGGGATGTAGCAGATGATGAATCAGTGGTGTTGTTAGGGGCATGACCTATTAAGGTGTTAGAGGTGAACATTGAGTTTAAACTCTATATGGACTCTTAAAAGGCACACAGTGTAGGAGGGCCAGAACAGAATAAAGTTGTTGTGTCTTTTATTCTAAAGTGTCTGATTGCAGGTGCTCTCACAGCATATATGGCAGAGTCTGCATTACTTGTTTATGTCAGGAGCTGAAGCTGGCAAAGAAGAGGCATGAAAACAAAATGTAGAAAGGGGCCAAAGACTGGTTAAAATTAATGAGCTTATAGGTTTTATACTGCAGCTCCACAAAAACACACCAAAAAATACTTGTTTTAAAGGTTAAATATAGGATTTTTGTTTAAAAGAATGAAATAGCATTCCCTCTTTCATCATCACTGAGGTCAGCTTGGAGATTTGTTCATATTTTCTTAAAATTAGTTCTCGATAATTTTTTTAAAAGTGTATGTTTACTTCTGTCAGAAGGATTATAACAAATAATATAGACAACGGTCTAGCTGCGTAAACTAGAGTGAAAATACATACAAGACACAGTAGTTGTTTTAATAAAAAAGACCGTTTCTTGTGTAAAGAGGCAGAACTGACATAGTGTAATAGTAAAGTCGTTATTCTGCGGTCACATATTGATATTTGATGCACTGGTCATAATAATTACTGTATTTATACTACAAACAAGCTTACTGCACCCAGTTAATAGAATATTACATCTAATGTGAAATTAGAAAAACTATGAGCCTGAGAGAGAAAACAACACTTTCACAATACATCTTCTAGTTCAGTACCAAGGACAGCGACACAGATTCATCAATACATAACTAAGATGTCAGAACCATGGCCAAAGCTAAACTTTCTATCCCAGAAAAACCATCTGCCAGGGGAAGAATCAATGGGTCAACCAGACCAACACAAGACTCAACTTCACAACCGCTCTGTCTCCTGGGAGCAGAACGAAGGGAATGTCAGGCCAGTGCAGTCCAAGTCCACCGAACTGGCGGTTTTCATTGATTGTTTGAGTCTGCCAGCATTTTACTGAAATAAAAATAAACACATTGGTCAGTTGAGGTAAACAAAGTCAATAATGATAAGAGACCAAAATGAAGCTATGTGTAAAGTAGTTCACAAACTAGATTAAGGGTATTTCTAATTATACTGAAATTACCACTAAATTGTATCCAGCGAATCAGAGGTCATTCCACCAGTGAGCACCATATGAAGACAGTTTTTGGCAGAACTGGAGGGAAACTAAAAAGGCACTTTCCTTCACTCCCTGTGGATCAAAAATATCACTTATTGGGTCCAGCTTTCTTTTTAAGTCTAAATTGTTGATGATGAGAACTTTAGAATCGGCCATCTTCAACGCGAGCTAACTAACCAGCTGACCGTCCAACTGGCCCTCAGCAGCCTTGTTATTGTGGACTTCCTGAATCTTTTCTGCAACATAAACTCACCAGTGAAGCCCAAAGCAGATACTTTGATATTGGATTCAAACAGTAAGATTATGTTTGCTTTTTTAGCAGCTCCAAGAAAAGATTTTACGACTATAAAGCTCTAAATCTGTGTGTGAATGGTGTCCAGTGCTGGAAAAGAGCAAGCATGTGCAGCCAAGTTTCACCATAATAAACCCAAACAGTTGGTTTAGAAAGCTAATTCTGTGTTATTGAATAAAATCCAATTTCTTGACTCCACTCGACAAAACTGTAGAATCTAAGTGTATCGTTGTTCAACCCTGTTAGATTTCAAACCACAGACATCTTGTTTGTTTTGAACAAAGACAGAACTTGTCAGAATTGCCATGACCTGATTAAGCTGTTTTCCCTATTTGTTGTGGATTATGACATTGTTTATGACGGCACCGTAGCGGGTTGACATATTAATCCTTTGAAAAAATGTGATGAAATACATAGAACCCCTGCTGAGAGCGTCTACTGTCGCACCTCTGTGGGAATTTCCTCCACATTCTGCCTAGCTTCAGGCTTCAGGGAGCGCAGAAAGTATTTGACACATCAGAACGCTGAAGCTCTTCTCTGCTGTCCCCCTCCTCAGTGGAGTCAGGTCAGCTTAGATCTTAATAAACTTGCAGACAGATTGCAGGCCATAAAAACATTGTTGATGGGGTTGTTGATCATTCTCCTGCAAGACTCACAAGAATGACAAGGGGGGTGTAACATGACAGCATCCCCTATCGCATGGATATCTGTGTTAATGTAGACTTAAGAGGATGTGCTGTGCATGCTTATGTGAGCCAAGCGTATCTTCTGGTAATACTTGACCAGAATGCGATTACCATCTTTAAATCCCAGGTCTCTGAGCAATATGCTACAATGATTAAATTACACTAAATCTTGTTCTTGCCCTTAATAAGAAAAAATCCTTTTTGTGTGCTTTGTTGTTGAGCTCTGAATTTATTGGAGGATTTATACATGTGATTACAATTGTACGCTGTTTTTGTTGTTGCACAGACAGGTGTGCAGCTTCGTTTTGGTGCAGCAAAAAAGACTTAGTATGTGTCTGCACGACTCTGACAGTGATTTATAACATGTACACAGTGCAGAGAGTTCGATAAAGTCCATGTTGTTATGTGCATGCTTAAAGTATTGTGGCCCGATAATAAATCTTCCCAGATGTTCGATACTGTGCCAAGGAATAACACCTGAAATAAAAACTTTGGGCCATGCAAGAAAAATAGTATGCATGGCAAGAGGAGATGGTGTTCTGCTGTCATCACCAAGAGGCCATTATAAGCTTATGCTTCTCTTATAAATGCAGGATGCTGCTGCCCTCGCGCCACCTTCTACACTCACGTTTAATACTTGTGGACATTCCTGGGTCTGGCCTCTGCAGAAAGACGTCCAAGGATCCTTTTTAATTTTATTCTATGTGTCTGTGAAAATGCCTCCAGATGCATGAGTCCTCTTCAAAGCTGAAAAATGGGGCGGATCATGTCTTGTCTCAGTTCCTCAGATCCCACTTGGAAATGTCTACATTTCCATGGGGCCTATTTCATAACACGTCAGTATGAATTTTGAGCTGAATATCTCTAGAAGTTCGGTTCCAGGCAAGAAAATGGGTTTTTTAAAGGTTTAATATTATTCAAAAAAGGAAGACTGGCATGTTTTAAGTCAGGCAATACATTACATTTGGGAACTTTTAATAAAATAGATCTCAACATTATTCCATTTTTACACCAGTTTAGAATAATCATCCACATTTCAAAATTGTGTTTACAAACAGATGTTATATGTGGGATATTTGGCCCTTTGTAAAACACACACACACACACACACGCACGCACACACGTGCACGCGCACACACACACACGCACGCACACACGCGCGCGCACGCATGCGCGCGCACACACACACACACACAGCAAATCAGCCCCATATAACTAAAGCTAGCAGAACACAGGAGGAGGAGGATTTGGACACCTTGTTGCTGCTGAGTTAACCACAACCAGTTTTATATACCAGAGTGTTCTAGGGTCAGATATGAGGACATTTGTGTGTTAGCTGAAACTTAGCATAATCTGGGCCTTTTGCCAGAATAAAGATCCTGCAGTAAATCAGCATGAATGGGTAAATAAATTAAAACATCACTTTCTGCAAGGGATCAGCTGAAGTCCAGACTAACCTGACCTCAAGAGAGCTGCACATAAATAAATGGCTGCAAACCTTAAAGAAATAATATTAAAAGTGGACAAGACAAATACTTAAAATGATAATTATTCAGAAAACAATAGAGACTAAAAGTTACATTATTATCAGTCTTATGGTTTGTCAAGGCCAAATGTTCCAATGTAAACTGTTTTTAAATAACATTTTTGCTTCAGTTGATACGTTGTGTTCACAATAAGCTGTTTAATGTTGGAAATATTAATAAAAATAGGAGTTAATATTATTAATCTGCAAAAAAGACATACATTCAAATGACAACATTTGGACTAAAATCAAATTCCCCAGCTGACAATTTTATTGTCCTTGTTTAAAGGAAACACCTAATGACTTTTTTTAAAGTTGCATTAGTTCCATGTTACCATATACCAAATATGTTCATGAAGTTCTTTGCTTTATTCAGCAGTTTTATTCTTGATGGTTTCAGTGCCTTCCAGAATGAGCTGTTTCAGGGCTATGTCACTTTCAGAAAACAAGCTGTGGCTGCTACGCCCACCCATCCCCCACTCGGGCTGCTAAAAGCTGAGAAGCTCTGATAGCTGGGAGGGGCTCAGAGTAGAGCCGCTTCTCCAACAGCAGGAGCTCTCTCTTGAATGTAAGAGATGGCTCTGTTCTACTTTCCCTATTTGTGACATCACAAACAGGGACTTTTTGAAACACCACGTTTCAAACACATAATTCCTCAAAGCAAAGACTGACAGGAAATGGATGGGCGAATTTTGTGTTTGGAGTAGAGACCCTCTTGTCAGCACAAAATGATGCAAAAGGAGAGTTTTGTACAATATGTCCCCTTTAATTAGGAAGTAAAATACTCAACGTTGAAGAGGAGGCAGCCAGGAGTCTGGCTAAAATCCATCTGATGATATTGCTTTTGAAAGGCAGTTTTAGTTCTATTTTAACCAACTGCTTTTGCATTTTGACCTAGTTTTAGAAATAAAAGACATCCAATCAGGCATATCAGGTGGTTGGTTGTTTTTTTGACCTTATTTTAAGTGACAGTGAAAACCAGGCTATTGGGCAGAACAAGAATTGTGATGTGTGCCTATTTGTCTTTTAATTTTTTATAATGATGGAATACCTGGAAAAACACCTTCTCCATTTGCTCACTTATCCAAGCTTTGTGTTTCCTAATTCAGGCTTGAAAGCAGCCTGCTGGAGGTACTTCAGATGGACTTTGAGGTGGAGGAGCTGAGCAGCCCTGTTGACAGCCAGGTGATCATATGGAAGCTGGAGCTACCATCTGTGCCCAAAAGTGTAGCCAAGACCGAAGGAGCCATGAGGATTTATACAACCCAGAGAGACTTTGTTGGCCTGGCTCCTCTTGTAATGGTGAGTTAGATGACAGTTTTTATGTCACACGTAATCATGGCGAACCCCAGCATCCACATCACTGACAGCCTCATTTCCAATAAACCGCCAACACTTGGACTGCATTTGAGCATCGACGCGTGAAAAACATCATGAAATGCACTTTGCTCTGATCCCTCCCTGTCTGGTTTGCATACTCAGAAGGCTGGATGTGCTTCAGTTTTGTTTAGTAAATGGCTTCTATTTTCAGCAGAATGTGACCTTGTGCCGTTGACTGTCATCTAGCTGACACCCCTCTTCTGTGTTGTTCTTCTCCGCTCTGGCGTGCAATATGTGGTCATCCTTTGCTTCTAACAGCTGCTTCATGTGCTGCTATTTTGGTGCCTCGGGCCTCTTCATTGTGCTACACTTACTCTGTAATTAATCCATGATATAATCCCCTTCACCAAACATTACAGCTGTTTGAATAACAATGTTGAATCTTGGTTATTTGACACCTGGGCCACTGTCCTGTTTTAGGCATTATTACGAGCTCACATAATGTCAGTGTACAAGGCAGCAGATATGAGGTGCTTTAGTCTTTACATTATTTCACAGGCTGCCTTCTACATTTCCTCCACAGTGCTGCTGGGGTGCTTTAAATGATAACATGCTTGCAGTTTCCTGATTTGTGAATTTGACATGATTCATCTCGCTCGTTGAGTTGAAGCCGACCCCAGGCCGAGGGCCAAACACGAGGAGATTTTCTCGTTGGCTCAAAGGGATAACGCATCAGCTCCAGCATTTCAAATCGGAGGCAAAAAGCCTCCCTGATGCAACCTTCAGAGCAGGAAGGAAGAGGAAAAAAGTTCAGTTAGTCTATTTTAGCTTCATTTAAACCAGCTTGGGAGTCGAGGGACACATATCCATCTGCCTCATCTGCATACTCAAAATGGCTAACTGTCACTTTAAATTTGATTTATGGGATAATTCACAAAGACTGTGCTACACACTCAGCATGATGATTCACACAAATATCCGTCTCTTCTATCAACGCTGTTTAAAAGAGGCAGTTTTCACAGTGACATACGAGGATGTGAAACCAATGTGACCCTATGTAAAAAAGGTTTTCGACCCATTTTTGATTAACCCCATTTTTTGGAAAGCTGAGAAGGAATCTATTCTCTCTGATAACATGAAGGAGGCTAAAAGATCTCAAAAAGCAACCCATCCTGCCTTGCCCTAAAGTCAAGAAAAAAGAGCCCAGAGTATTAGGCCTCACTTAGTTCAGATAAAGGTCAGAGGTCATAACTCAATATTACAAAATACTTGGTCGGGGGTGCAAAGATGAAATCCAAGGATGAGTGTCTTCACCACTGTCGACAATAGCGGTTTCCATTACCAGAACTACAGGGTAGTTCCTGGGATGGGGAAATTGACCAGAAGATAAGATGTCCCAGTCCTCTCAGCTGTTTTGTCTCCATTCAAATTCAGCCCTTCAGAACTTTGCAGTATCGCGACTGTTATAGCAGTGAGTGATGTCACTGACCAGCGCCAAAAAGTCCTGTTTATTTACAGCGCTCTGTGAGACAACAAAGCCCCGTTAACTGAGTCGGTGGGGAAATTCCCGTTTTTATCCGGTGCCGGAAGTTAGATTTTAAGTGCGATCGGTGCTTATTTTCCTTTGCTTCCATTCTTCTTCACCAGAAACTCTTCTAATTTAACCAGTTGTTTGAGACAAGGTCTACTGATGTCATTTCCTACTGAGTTACAACCAATCAGCGCGAGTTAACCAGAGGTTCTGCTCAGCTACTCCACCAAGCTGTTGGGAGCTACCCATGGATTCTAGACCAGCAAGCTGGACAATGTTCTAGCTGCGATACCGGTATTAGTGCGCAAAATGGATGTCGTCTTGGAGAGGGTCACCGGACGGTATGGACAAGTTTAAAAACCTAAATTGGCTTCACTGAAGGACTGGAATGATCAGTAAAGACTGAAGGAGGAGAGAAAAATTTTCTCAGCCTGACCCAAACAAAGTCTTGTTATCCGAATCTGACGCCAGAGCAGCCTCGAGATGCTAACAACAAACCCCCACCAAGGAATGTAGACAGATGCTGTGAACCCCCCGCCTTCGGATTGGTGGACTCCCTCCCACCTGTGGCTACAGTGGCTGAGCGCTGTACATGGCTGCTCTCGCTGGGGAAACAGGATCCCAGCCGCCCCCCCCCCCCCCCCCCCCCCCCGCCTTCCTATTGGAGTATCTATGTTGTGCTGTCCGAAGTCTGTTCCACATCTGTCTGAGGTGTTTTTTTGCAGGGCAAAGCCGCCCTCCTGGTGGGAAAGTAGCTGTGAAGTGCCTTTTTTTCCCTCCTCCCGAATCAATACCTCCCGTTACCCTCTTATCTTTATTAAGGTAGCACGACTCAAGGTTGCGAATGACCACAGTCGCCAATTCTTGTCATGTGTCTTGCCCATGTATGTCTGATCTCTGAATTGTGTGTACTGAAACTCTAATTTCCCTCTGGGATTAATAAAGTATCTTTGAATGTGCAGGTACTCAGAAGGTTCCTGAAAATGGCCGTTCGGCCGGCCCGGTCAAGTGGAGACACACACATGTCTGGAGGTTCCTGTAATCTACCCTGAAGTTCTAGTAATGGAAATACAGATAATATAAAAACACAAAGTTCTGTCTCACATTTTCCTGAAACCATTTGGATTAATCCCAATACTTTTGGGAAAATACTCTGTAGACTAGACAAAGAGGAACTTTCTAGAATGTGTGTTTCCCGTTCCATCAGGAGTAAAGCTAACACTAAAACAACACCCTGGTGGTGGTAGTGTGATGGTCTGGAACCTGGAACCACTTGCTGTAAAGATGGAACCAGGAATTCTTCTCTCTAGCAAACAATTACTGACCTATGACCTAAAACAGACCTTTCATGATGGAAAACCCTCCTATTGAGCGGGATTAGAACTATTCTCTAGAAGACTGAGTTTACAGAGAAAGGTTTTTTACTTGATGTTTTTGATTGATCACTCTGAGTTTAACATGCAGGCTAAACGTGAAAGCAATCTTCATATCCTGCATTAAACATTGTTCTAAGATAAAGGGGGAACTGCTCGGACTAGAAAAACCACTCGGCTCTACGGGCTGACCCATCTTGGCTTGTGACAGGGAAGGCTGTTGTTGGTTTAGCATCCAGGAAACAGCAGAACATGTCTTGGTTTGTAGAAACTAACCATTAGCATTAGCAATGGACCACACAGCAGAACTCCTTCAGACTTGACTTATTTGTGGAGATGAAACATCACTGTTGCTGTTAGCCAATTAGAGGCGAGATGTCCCAATATCATCTTCTGCCCACCACTCCTCTGGCTAACTTCTGCCTCCTGAAACGGGAGCGCCAAAGCTTATTTCCCATAGAAATCTCTGCTGAAAAAATAAAATAGTGGACCAGCATATGTTGTGTTTGGTGATTGTTCATCTGGTGGACCAGCATGCTGGTCTAGAATCCAGAATCCTAGCACCAGCATGCTAAACCAGCATCCAAAATACAAAATATGCTGTTTTTTCAGCAGGGATCGACTCTCAAAACATTATATATTATTAATACTAGAGAACATTGCTATTGTGTAGAGAAAATTAGTGAACTTGGTCTTTAAAGAAAAGTAGGACAAACATCCTCCACAGGGCTGAGAGACTTATCAAGACTGGTGTTGGGAGTCAGTGGCTTTTTCACACAGGACCAGACAGGTTAGCTTTGTTCCCTTAATTAATAAAACCTTTTCAAAACTACACTTTGTATTTACTCCGGTTATAACTGTTTGATATTGATTCTGATCTGAAACGTTTCAGGCACTTTCAGAGCATTTATTGAACTGTTTTGACTTTTGGGTAAAAAAAAACAGAACCGTACAATGACACCTCTAAGCAAATAAAATAGAATTAATTGAACAGTTATTATTTCTCAGAACATTTCAGGCTTTTTCAGACTCTTGTTTCCACACCTCCTCTCATTTCTGTGTTTTCAGGGAGGGTTCTACTGACAAAATTCCCCTGCCTTTGGTGCCTTTGGTGTTCAACCTGACAGTTCAAACCGCACACAGGGAATCACTCTTTTTAAACCCTCATGTGCAGTTTAGTTATAGATTAATGGCAGTTATCCTTATTGCAGACAGTCTTGCTGTGGGTTTTGGATCCAACAAGGTTGGGTTATTTAAACACTGCACCACAGATACAAACACTGAGGAGCGTAACAGCCTGCTGGGCCGATTAATTACCCATTCACAAACAAACACGTCGTAATTCCTCCATCAGCACAATAAACCCCAGCTTCACTCTGACCCCATTTCCCTGAGCTTTGTAGATGCGCTAACTGTCTGCTTCCATTAATTGTGCATTCAATAACAAACTCAAAATCAGAATATTGACTCTTAGCATGGAGAAAAATTAAACATGAAGTCAGATTTGGATCATGAGCTATAAAACTCCAGAGGCAGAGGATTTTTTAACAATTCTTTTGAAGTTAACTAAATAATATATAAAAATCTGAAGTTAATGGCAATTTAAAGCAAGAGTATACGAGTTAGGACGTTCTACTTCATAGCAAAAGCAACATGATCTGATGTCATGTATGGGAAAAGGTAAAGACAAGGCAGCTGGGGAATTCCGCTCTGACGTGGAGAACTTCAGAGAAACATTTTCAAGCTGCAGCCCTAGACACAAAGACAAGGCAATGTTTTTCCGCCAAGTTTTCTTTAAGTTGGTACTGAATTCAAACACCCGAGCATGAGTTTTCAAGTGCAAAACTGTGAAACATTTCATAATATGTCTCTTTTAAAGCAGACTTGATCTCTTAAAAGAAGTTTCATCTCCCTTTTTAAACATCCAAGCATGAGATTCAGAGCTAGAATGAACACATCCAAAGATCAGAGATAAATGCATCACTTGTTACAGACACACTCACTGGGTGACAAGTTTAGAAGTGACTCTCTTAAGTTCACACAAGCTATTTTATCCAAGAGCGTTCTGATTTTTAAAATCGTGTTTGGGCATTTCTAAAAACAACTGGTCCACTGCTGAAGGACAGAGACGCCTCGTGTGTGTGGAGTTCCAGTCCGTGCCCACGGTTGTTTACACTAACCGGACTTCCCTTGGAGGAATATGCTTGTGCAGAGAAATCCAACATTAGCTCTCCCCTTCAGGTGTTGACCTGGCCATCACCTAGCCTCAACTCTGCTTCATCCATGCTTTCCCAAAAGGGAATAGCTTTTTCATCATTCTGGGACTTCTAGGTCAGTTAGGTACTCTTCATCATCTGCGTCTCCTTCATGTGCATGCATCCTTGACCACTGACTGCAAAAAAAAAAAAAAAAAGAAGTATTTGCTGTTTGGCAGCTGAATCATGCAGTGTGAACTACAACGACACCGAATTACAGACTTGGAGTTATTATTTTCTAGCATGATTACAGCTACTTTTACTTCATTTTGCGGGCAGGACACAGAGATCCTGAACACGGCTGTGCTGACTGGAAAGAAAGTGGTGATGTCTGTGAGGACAGTGGCAGTGGAGGAAGATGGGCTCGTCACAGACGTCTCTGACTACACCGACTGCAGCTCCACTGATGAAGATGTCCTGAAGGTAGAGTCATTTTTCCCTATTTCACAAAAACCTCCACGTCATATAACAGAAGAACATAAAGAACAAAAATGTTTCAATTAAATATTTTCAAGTTATTTTTTTTTTATCTAGGAGCACTTTGATGGACTGTTTGCTGAAAGGGACTCAGACAACAAAAGTAAACATAGACTGAAATGTCTTTTCATGTTTTAGAGGCCATTATTCTGCTTTAATCATTTTGTTTGCTTCAGCAACAATGTGCAAAGAATTTTTAGTCACAAGTAATGACTTTTCATTGGAGTTGCTTGTATCTTGTGTGCCCGCTCGACTGCTAATGGGCAGAAGGGCAATTTGGAGAGTTTGTTAAATAAATCTGTTATAATAATGTGACAAGAAGGGCAACTTTGAGGAAATAAGTTGCACAAAAGCCAGTTGTGCTTTCTATTAGACTCTAACCATCACCAGCTTTTGGCCGTTGGTCTCCATACCCCCTCCACCACCCCATCTGTGGTCGGTTTTGTCTAACAAGCCTGAACTGTCAGAATCCTTCTTGTTTAAAGATGATACTGAAAACTGAGATGCAAGACCTTCGGGTCAAAGGCTATAACATTTACCAGAGGATAAACAGTGACTAAGTACATGCAGCAGCACCCCAGACCTGTGGCGTATGTTTAGTTGTTCAAACATCAGATGCCTTCACTGTTGATTTTTCTCTGTTGCCAAATGTTTAGAGAATGATGCAAGTTTGCTGCTTCTGTGTTTTTTCATCAGATTTTTGGTTTACAAGCATGTCACACACTTCAATAACTTATTTAAACATGACATTTATGTAAAGAGTGAATATTTGCAGTGTTGGTTATTCTCCTTCCAAGACCTCTCTAGTTCCTTGAGTTACACTACATCCAGATTCTATTACCGTGTACACAATGGTGGGAGTTTACCAAAGTTTATGAGTTTTGGTCTGTTTACTGGAGAGAACTGGCAAGTTTCCATGTCCACGTTTTCTCTGTTTTGCTCCTGGAGTCACTTAGTCGTGGCCTAACTTCCTGGCATGGTGAGCAATCATGCTGTAAAAGAAAGTGTTCATGACCAAACTGTTCATGGCTGAGTGTGAGGCTAAACGGTGAGTGAGTCCACTCCCTTGGCCGAGAAGCAACTCCACACATGAATGGTCTCAGGGTGCTTAACTGTTGGCAGGACTCAGGACTGATGGGATCTCTTAGTTTTTCTTCTCCAAATATTTTTTTTCCAAATTTCCTGATAAATCAGTTCACCGGATTCCTTCGTCAGAGAAAATGACTTTCCTGATGTTCTGTTAGGAGAAAAGTGGCTTCTTTGCTGCTCTTCTCAATATCAGTCCATCCCACAAAGGTCTTCTCTTCACTGTGGATTGATACAAGCACACCTGCCTGCTGTGATTTCTAAGTACGCTTTATACTAGTGGAGCCCTGAAGCTGCAGCTGTATCAGCTTTAGGAGATGGTCCTGATGCTGCTGGACCTTCTTGGAAACTCTGAACCCTTCTTCAAGACTGTTGGCAATACATTGTTTTCCTTTTCTTTTGAGGATGACAAACAGGAACTGAGAAGGAATGCCTTCTCCAGGTCAGGGATGAGGTCCTGCCTGAAGTGGAGGAGTTTAAGTATCTTGAGATCTTGTTCACAAGTGAGGGAAAGATGGAGCACGAGATCGATAGGCAGATTGGTGCTGCATCTGCAGTGATGCCGGTGTTGTACCGGTCTGTCGTGGTGAAGAGAGAGCTGAGCCCGAAGGCAAAAGCTCTCGATTTACCGGTCGATCTATGTTCCTACCCTCACCTATGGTCACGAGCTTTGGGTAGTGACCGAAAGAATGAGATCGTGGATACAAGCAGCTGAAATGAGTTTTCTCCGCAGGGTGGCTGGGCTCTCCCTTAGAGATAGGGTGAGAAGCTCAGTCATCCGGGAGAGACTCGGAGAAAACCTGCTGCTCCTCCACTTCGAGAGGAGCCAGTTTAGGTGGCTCGGGCATCTGGTCAGGATGCCTCCATGGTAAGGTTTTCCAGGCATGTCCAATTGGGAGGAGACCTAAGGGAAGAAGCAGGACACACTGGAGGGACTATGTCTCTCACCTGGCCAGGGAACACTTTGGGATTCCCCGGAGGAGCTGGCCCAAGTGGCTGGGGAGAGAGAAGTCTGGGCCTCTTGGCTTAGGCTACTGCCTCCACGACCCGGCTCTAGATAAGCAGTTGAAGATGGATGCATGGAATTTCAATTGTATGCAAACTGCGATTATAAAACGGAGGTAGCAGCTTAATATTTGTGTCATTCCCAAAACTATTAGCCACAGCTGTAATCTAGCTCTTCAACTGCTGGGATTGACAGATTAAATGAAAGTATATGGGCGTAGAAGAAGAGATTGGTTAAGCAAAGAGAAGAGTGATCCCATGTGTCGGTTAAAAGTGAACAAAATCACTCGTTTCAACGCTAATTTGACCGATCTTAGCTATTGTTCTAAGCTTACTGAAGCTCCCAGTGTTTGCTGACCAAACAGCAGCTTCAGTCACAAACAGTCTCTTTAATCTTCTTAGTCCAACAGTTTGACTCCGATACCATTCCTCTTTTGCTGTGCCTAAGGGGTGTAACGTGAGGAAATATGGGTTTTCTGTCACAAAGGTGGTGCTGGACTCAGCTGGTTCAAAGCTGGGTCATTGAGAACTTTCACCCACAGATTAAGACCTGAACGCCAGCGAGTCTGGGAGGAAACCATCAGCCACCTGCAGTCTACCAGAAGATGTGTTTACATGAGTTGTACCCAGACCAAGTCAAAACATAAAGTTTAAACTTCTGTTTCTTGATTTTAATGTTAAAGTAGCCATTATCATTTTGCTCATTATAAATGTGTTTTAATCAAATGAATGACTATTATGCTTTGGGGTAATTATAATGGATTAATGAATCCATTCTTAAATAATGTTGAGAATGTGTGGTACTGACCTTCACACACACTCAAGCACACAAACATTCACACACACCCACACACATCTTCCCACAGTAAACTCCAGACACATGTGATGACGCACATGTTTGCTTTGAGAAGAGAAAGGCTTTTGGTAAGTTTCAGTCTGATGATTTCAGTTCGTGTTGGACTACGGAAGAGAGTGGACCTGAAACCAAAGGGGGGGGGGGGCAGAGCCGGCTGGCTCGTTCTTCTCCCCTTTCACGCTGTTTCTGCCAAGCCAGGCAGAATAGCTGAATCGCAACTTCTAACGCAGACTCATTACCGAGTCTTTTGATTTCTGAGTGAATTAACTTAAGAAAGCGCGTCGACAAAACGCTTTACCATCAACGTGTACCGAGGGCAACTCTGGACCGGTTCCGTTCGACACCTACGTCTCCTGTCAGCCGCCGGTGTCATCTGGATGAACCACAACATCCTCCACGGCCCGGATCCGAAAGAGGGTCCACAAGAATTCGGTGAGACAGAACACGGTGTTTAGCGTTTGGATGCATCTTTTCCAACTAAACCTAAGTTTATTCAAACCATCACTTTTCACTCAGACACCTGTTTCTTCCTGAAGCAAAATCAGATGCACACATGCATCCATAATCACATCATATCACTCTCACAACTCACAACATTCTCAATCTTCATAAATTCACCAGAAGGTCTATTTGAGCAAGAACAACATATCAACTGTTAAAGATTGTCCCACAAAGTTGCCAATGTGATTGTTATTTCCTGTTTGTCAATTTTCAAAATCATTAGTTTAATTTGAAGAATTAAAACTTTTAATTGTCAAACTGGTTTCCTCATTGAACTGAAACACAGACACTCAGATATTATCGGCAGTTTATCGATGAAAACAACCTTTGAGTCTTCTGAACAATATAAAATTTGGTTATTGATTTATTAAAAATTAATATTCCGAATTAATACGTAGCATGGTTCCTCTTTCATAAAAGAGCATAAAACCACAACGCTACAGGGGTATCAAATCTGCCAGTGGTAGATGTAGAAGGATTTCTCTAAAACGGACAGCTCGCAACACTAAATCAAAGTAAACTCGGTGTAATCGGCTGTGGTGACAAGGATTTTCAAAAGTGCAGTAAAGATAAAATACTTAATATGCTAAAATAATCTTAAACATGTTAATGAAGAGAACAACTTCACCTACTTTCACATAGAGGTTATTTTCTGGGAATCTATCATATTTTACATATGGTTGGACAAAGACTCCGAAGTCAGAGTTGTGCCAGAGGGGTGCATTTAAATTTGGGGCTTCGATGTAAAGTGGATCATTTGGAGAAACAAGGGCATTACATTTGAGTTAGCAGAAAGGATGATGCATGGTGATGTGGTCATGTTAGCGCTTATATCCGTGGCACGTATGACTGACCCCGAGGACCCTTTAAAAAGTAATAAGTCCTGTTTTCTAGATTACTCTTGTATGACACATAAGCTGTCCTAAAACATGCCTCCCTGTCCCGAAACGTCCATGAGGTCTTTATATAGTTGTGGAAACTTGTGAAGGTCACCTATGATATTAAGAGTAACAAATGCTGCTGGCTGTGGAGGACTGATGTCAGCACAACACTGCGTGATATTTGGATTAACATAAAATTGCAATGCCGCCTCTTCCTAATGCTTCGGACTGGTGATCATGGTGGTAGTTTATTACAACCAGCTGACATTACCGTGGCAACATGCAGTGCAAAACTGCTACAAAGCCATTTGTTTTTGTAAGAATGGCCCGTTTGTTAAAACAGTGACTTTTATGGGAATATTTAATTATTTTTTTGTCATTGGTTAGATGACTAACATCCCCTTCATGGATAACAAATTCCCTCTGTGTTTGATGCAGATTGTTTTCCTACTCATTGATTTTAGACAGGCAATAAAAATGATGTGAGATTTTTGTTCTGATGAAGTGTTTCCTTTGGGTGTTATGTCCTCCTCTACCCAGGTGTCAGACAGATGTGACTATGTTTTTCTAAATGGCAAAGAGACCAAAGGCAAAGTGAAGATGATAGTAAACTTCACCTACAGCTACCTGAGCGCCCAGCTTGAGCTGAATGTGTGGATGCCTCGGCTCCCTCTGCAGATTGAGCTGTCAGACACAGAGCTGGGCCAGATCAAGAGCTGGCGGGTACCGATCCTGACCTCAAAAAGGTAGGGGACATTTATTTTGCCAAAAAACAAACAAGTAACTTATTTTATTTTGTAGGTGGGTAGTAATATTTAGCTCATATGAACCCACAAATCTCTTATCTCTTTATTTACCGTGCTGAAATCACTCATTGTGATCCAATCAAGCAGGGACAGGGTTGAGAGATTGAAATCAGGCTGGTGAAAGTATTAACCATGTGACAGGTGTGACCCACAGATGTTTTTGTGCTCATGTGTCAGACCTGACTGGAACAGCGATGAGGCCGAACGGAAGGGGAAAGGCTGCATGCTGCAGCTTCAGCACGCTCTTGTGAGGGTGCTGACTTACTTTGTGGCAGAACAGGAGGACCCACGAGATCCTACAGCCTATTTTTTAGGCTCGGACTGGCAAGTGGATGTCACAAGGTTGGTTCGGTACTTTATGAAGGTGGAGGACCCTCGTGTTGCAAGGTTACAGGAAGGAAGGGTGCTGTCAGGACGAGATTTTGGGACGACAACTATCCAGGTAAGGAGATGAGCACATGGTTGTGCTGTCTTTAAAACAAAGCCTGTGTGAAGTAGATCAAGTTTTCCTTTTTTTTTTTAAATGTGGTGAATCAAAATGAGAGATTTACGATGAAGAATCTTTGCTTTTCACAGGTGTTTTCACCACTGTCTGACGTCATCTTGGCTAAGACAACTGTCAAAGTTGTGGACGACAAAGTGAGCATCACAGAGTTGGGGGTCCAGCTGGTCACAGGCCTCTCCATGACCTTACAACGTAGTCCAGGAAGCAATAAGGCCATTGTGGCGACAACAACAACACAAGAAGTGCTTCATAGTCCCAAACAGGTAACTTTATTTTTCTGTTTAAAAGGCTTTGAGAAAAAATTTGGCCCCAAAGTGAAATAGCAACTTTGGTCTTTTATTGTTTTCACAGGAAGCTTTAGTCAGTTCCTGGCTACAGTTCAGTGATGGCAACCAGACACCACTTGACATTTATGATCCGGCCTTCTACCGAGTGACAGTGACATCTCTTGATCAAGGCGTGGTGTCAGTGAGGGGTAAACCTGCGGTTGTGGTGGCAGAGGGGGAGGGTGAAGGTGTTCTGGTTAGAGTAGAGATGTCCATCTGTGAGACCTGCCAGAAGTCTAAACGCAAAAGTATTGTGGCTGTGGGCAATGGTAGCCTTAAGGTGAAGTTCCAGACAAATACCCGTCGGCTAGGAGGCAACACCCACAGCCTTGACCGAACCTCAGTTGGCAAAAGCAATGACTACGGTAACGATGGGGAAGAGGTGGACAGTGAGAGGAAGCAGGGGAAGCCATTTCAGTTTCTTCCCACAAGCAATTCAAACTCTAATAAAGAGAGTGCTGTTCGGAAGATCTCCACCACCATCAAATCTACAGAAAGAAGCTTCATAACCAGTGGCAGCCTTGGAGGGGTTGGCAAGACCAGTAGCTTACAAAATGCAGACAGTCCAACTAGTATGGTTAATGCCAGCCTCAAAAGCAGCAAAGCATATGGCAAAGACAATGTAATAGTGGAGGACATGAGGAGCGTTAGCTTTGCTAGCACAGTGAAAGCTCCAAGAAATCTGGTTAATTACAACAACTTCTCGAGCAAGGTGGAGTTTCCTGGGCAAGGGATGGCAGAGGTAGAAATTGGCAGTGAAGAAGCATTGGCCAACAGGCCTCTCACAGACTTAGAGATTGGCATGTACGCTTTGTTGGGTGTCTTTTGCCTGGCCATCCTGGTGTTCCTAGTAAACTGTATCTCATATGTCGTTAAATTCAGGCAGAAGAAGCCTTCCTCTCATAGCCAAGAACCAACAGGGCACAGGCACGACTGGGTATGGCTCGGCACAGATGCCGAGCTGGTGATGACTGTGCCATGCAGCCCGGTCCATCAAGACTCCCAGAAAACCACTGTGATAGACATCGGGCCTGACAAGACAGCCTCTCTGTCCAGGAGGCCCAGTTGCTTGGCCTCTGTGACAGATTCCCCCCTCAGCTGTTCAGGCTCTCACAGAAACAAACCCATACAAAATGAGTCCATTCACTCACCCACCAGCAAAAGAAAGAGAGTTCAGTTCACTACATTTTCGACACTAGAGCGCCAGCATTCGCCACACCTTCTACCCAAGGAAAATGGCCATGGCATCCACTGGGTTGGAAAGAAGGACAGTTGTGAGGAGGAGCCTCAAGTGCCCATCATAAAACCTGGGGACCAGTTATAAAACAGAACACAAACACCTCGTATATAGTGGATGTGGCTTCGATCACCTCAATGCCTTTGTTAAGAATATGTGATTTTGTAATAAGCCCTCCCTACATTTCAATGCCTGTTAAGACCTTTTACCACGGAGGGCCAAAAGTGCCACTTTTAATGATGTGGCGTAACATAACTACTTATATATGCCAATGACAGTTTTGAAATTTGCTTTAAACTGAAACACATGAAATCATCTCTTTGGCTTACCCAAAACTAAAGAATCACTGTTGTGTTAGTGTAAACTTTGCATCAATCCTTGTTCTGGGATTGATTTGTCTTGACTTGTGCCAGTCAAATGGGCATGTTTTTTCGATGTGCCACATAACAGTTGAAATGATTTCATGATGCACTGCATGAACCACAAATAATAATCAAGTTAATAAAATAATGATTTTACTTTTAATTAATTGATATTCTCATTAAAATGACTATGTGATAATTTTTAACAATAATATAAGCTCATTTAAATCTAAAGAATACATTTCATTTTCAAGTGAAGCCACTGGTATGGCGGATTGTTTTACATTGTGGCATTTTCGGCCCTCCATACTTTATATGTACATGTACTGTAAACTGTATATACTTAAAATCAGAAAGTGTAAGATAATGTTTCACAAGCTTGACCAGATGTACAGTTATTTACAAAATATTTTAAACCACAAAACGTTATTGCTGCATGTGAATATGAACTTCTGTACATTTTGCACTCACATACTGGTATGTGCACATACGAAAGACTCTAATAGCCTTTTAAATTAATTAAAGGCCTAATCTACCAGTTAAAATATGGAACTCAGCTTGTAGATTTTATTTATTTTCTGTAAAAGTCAAAATTGTATTAAATAAATTGACTATTTACTAAAACATTTTGATCTAAAACAATTTTATTTTAGTGGGGAGATGTAAAAGAGGCGCGGTAGATGAAAACAGCATGCAGCTTAACCAATGACTTATCTCTGTCTTTAATTCACTTTCCCCCCTTGCCTGAGAGCGTTGCCAAAACAAACCTTTGTACAGTAAACTGAAAGGACCTTTTGCTCCTCTGCCCTTTAAACAAATTAAATTTTTGCTGGTTTCTTGAATCTGTGAAATCCAATTGCTGCACATTATTAAAAATGAATGAGCAGGGAAATAAAAGGTGGAAAGCTGCTTTTGCTTTAACAGAGTGAAAAATATCCAACCATCAAACATTTTCTGATCACAAACCTGTTAAATTCAATCAGTGAGGTGTGCTTGTCTTTAAAATAAAACAATTAGCAAAGATTTGATACTTTTGCTTGATTTATTTTAAAGTGTAAATGATAACTTCACATGCTTAAATTATATAAATATGACAAAACCATCTGCTCTGTCTGGTTCAAAGTGACCTGCAGCATAACTTCTAGTCATGCAGTACAAATAAAACATGAATACACATAAATACCATAATAACAATATTTGTACAAAGTCTGATTGCGATATTCCCTTTTATGTTGCTCAAGTCCTTGAGAAGAACCCTGTGACCCTACGATGAGTTCAGAGTGTCCGCCAGTTGCTGATAGGTCTCTCTCTCCTGCTTTAGGCTGTGGTGCTCGTCCACGTAGCGTTTTCCATTTCTCACCACCCTCTCTCTCAATTCCTGATCTGACAACAGCCTTTGAGATTGGTGCACAAATTCCTGCAAGGGGCGAAGCCAAAAATGAGTCTCATGTGCAGCCAAAAGCCACTTAAAGCTTACCAGTGAAGCTGCCTGGAGATATGTTATGTTTATTTTAAAGCATGGAAGAAAATCCCCGGCACAAGAACAGAACTCCGAGAGAAGCTTGCACACTGATTAGCAAATACTTCAAAAGTGTCTGATTATTGCCAAAGGTAGGAGATGTTTGAGGCTTTGAATCCAAATGAGGATGGCCAATAGACCTCTTTAGCCCATTTTTTAAAGCTTCTATCTTTTATTTGCTTTTAAAGAAAATGACAACAAACCACGCTGCTTATTCATCTGTCCCAGAAAAATATGTATAAAAATCAGACAGAGTAAGAGCTATGGTGCCATCACAGATCTTTGACCAAGAGGGTTTTATCCAGACATCATCCAGAGTTGCTCATCGTTTGGCTCCACGAACGGGAGGAAGCCTTCAGCAAAATGAAGCCAGAGTGCCTTGAAGTGTTGTTGCAGCATGGCAGCCAGCATTTATTGATGTGGCGAGCCAAAGGCACACAAAGTTTTAGCCACCGTCAATCACCAGGCTTTTTCACTCTTCACTTCAAGTGATGCGATTATGTCTGAAGAGGCTCTTGGTAGGAAGCAGCTCTTCTGTGTGAGAGTTATAAATCATCAGCAACAGGACTAAAGCCCAACTTACTGCTCATAATTAGTACAAATGACAGAGCCAGGCAGGAAAAGCCTTTTTTCCATTCTAAGATTTGAGTACTCGTATATTTACTTCTTTTGACACTTTTCTCAGCTTCTCTTGAGTGAAAGGACAGATCAACCCCCGTTCAGGTCAGAGTTTATCTGGTCCGAGTCACAGCAGCCATCTGGGGGCTCAGCTAAGCACACGTGCAGAGAGGAATTATCTTCGTCATCGCAGCAACATGAAGCAGCAGAACGGTGTCTTGACGGTGGCGCCGCGCTTAAGCTCCGTGTCAACTGGTCACAGCATATGTTATCCCTTTGCAAACGTCATTAAGCAGTAAACTGAATTAGCGCTCCGTTGCTGCACTTTTAAATTAGCTGCAACATTTTAGTTTTTAACTTTTATTTATATAAGGCCGAGTTTCTTCCAAACGTCAAACAAGGTTAGAAGGAAATCAGGTTGATTAGAAGTGATGAAAATGTGTTTTGTGCATTTAAAAATTATAATGGAGGCACACACTCTTTCTGTATCAGCGTTTCAGTACTTCTAATCAGCAGTAAATACTTCTACAGTCGGTTGATTCAATGAGCTGCAGCTGTGTCTAGAAGTCAGTGTGTTTATGGGCTACAAAGCTTATTAGGACTTACGGTAAGTAGTTACCTGAGGAGATGAATACAGCAGGCCGTTGGCCTCATGCTGCACCACTGCTGCATTTCCTGGAATGTCTCTCGCCAACACGGGCACCCTGAGGTCCATCGCCTGCACGCGAGAGGAAAAAAAAAAGGTTTTAACAAGAAACATAGTTATCCAACCTGCTTTTACAATTCTGCTTCACTTCCAAAGCTAACTGTCCGTGTCAGATTCAGCAGGTTGTTGAGTTAAACATCCGAACATACTAATCAGACTTTAAGCCCATGCGGATTGTCTTAAGTGACTGTGTTTAAATGAGATTAAGTGGATTTGGAGGTTTGGCTCACTTAGCAACAGACATATTGGAGTCAGGCAATTCATTTGGGTTACGGTCCTTGAATGGGGAAGATAACATTTAGCTGAGCAAATAAAAGACATGTGTACCTCCAAGATGGCTCCTGACATGCCCTCAGAGACCGAGCTGTTGACCAAAGCGAAGCACCTCTTCATGGCAGCATGAAGCTCTGGTTGGCTCCTCTCCTGAGCCAAGAAGACCCCTGTTGTCCTGCAGAGACAGAGGCTACTCAGGCATGACTGATGCAGAACACTCATGACAAGTTTGGGGTTGGACATTTGGCTGGACTATACGACATGAACAGTGACTTCAGCTAACATCTTAACAAGAGAGGGCAGCTTCCTGCTGCAGGGATCTCATGATGTTGTGAAGACCTTTGTCATTTGACGACACTTAGGCTTGGGAGGGTGGATGCAAAGGCGACGTTGATGCTACATTAAGATGCATTCAACCAAACTCCTTACCTACTGACAGCAGCTTCCATTTCAGCAGTTAGTACCGGATCGATCTGCGAAAAAATAAAAAATAATTAAAAAAGAAAAAGAGGCGTATTTAAAGATTCATAGAACAAATACAAGCATTTTAGATTTTCAAATGTTTTCTTTATCTTTAACACTCCCAACAAAGGTCTAATCAGACAGAAAACATAAACAAAAACAATAATTTATGTACCAAGAAAATCACTGATTGGAAAAAAAAAATCCTGTTTTTTCCGAGATTGGGGTCAGGATGGGGTGGGAGGCCAATCTGATTAATTGGAATGTGGGATTTGCGTGCATTAGCTTGCCTAAAGAGACGTCAAAAGCAGAGCAATTTAGGTCAGAAAAGCCACCAAGCAAGCGGCTACGCTCCCCTCTCTTACTTTATGATCCTGAAACATCTAAATCTAATTTGTTTTAAAGAACACGCGCTCTAAAATCGGTGAATCTCAGCAGAGAGCATTTAGTTATTCAGGTGCAATCTGGGATTTATCTTATTGCTATGCTGCTGCTGCTGTTGGGGCAAAACAATTGATAACGTCTTGTCCATTCACCCGTGTCTGTTCTGTAGGGGAGAGATCACTCGGGTAGTGTGAAAACAGACGGTTTGTTTATTTTGTGGGTGTAGGCTTTAACCTCAAACATGATGCTAGGCCTTATTTAGATTCACATTCTCACAAACAATCGCGTTCCTTCATACAGAATGAATGCATGTTTTGTTGTCCAAAACGCTCCTTGTATTGAGCCCAGTTAAAGAGGAGTAAGATGTGTCACTGCTGACAAACATCACTGACCTGGATTTTCCTCTTGATAGATGTTGCACCGCTAGAGTGCTTATTATGGGGTGAATTTATAGTACGTCATTATACTCTGAGCAAGGCATGCCTCATCCTGCCTCCTGTTCTTCGTTTCTGATTTTTCATTCACTTATTCCGTTTCCAGTCCATGTTAACAAACCAAATTAACACACACACAAAACTAGTGATCAACGCAGCATCTTTTAATACCAATATGGACACTAATGATAGTGAGATCTGTTTATGTCTCAGAAAAACAGCCCCTAATGTGATCCAAAGTGAGATGAATCACGCGTCTCTGCTGCCACTGAAGTATCTCATCAAGCATCAGCACAACACAGCAAAGCAAGAAGCGGCAGTAAGATGCACTCGCCCCTGGCTACATCTAATTGAGCTTGTTTTTGGGTAAAACTATAGCAGCACATACCTTGTTGCCTGACGCCACTGTTTGAATGCACAAACAGATGCTAAAGCTTTATATTCTGATGTCAGATCAAAGTACGTTAGTTAGAAAAGAAGATGAAAACAGACAAATTAATGAGAGGAATTGGAAATGAATTCAGATAAATTAAACTAGAGAACTGAGGGATTTGCTGGAATAGGGCTTCTACCTGCAAAATGAAGGCTGTGTATGAAATGTTCACTTGCTCACTCACACACTACGTCACATTCATAATAATACATGAGTTTGGAGACTATTTTAATGGTTTGTCACATAAATAAACAGATTAACACTGGAAGATAAGCCTGAATCCGAGGTGACGGACAGCATTATTTTGCTGGTTTCGGCTGAGAACGTGTAATTAACATCATCTGTCTCCATAACACTGATATAAAGTTTATCTACACACACTTTCACAGCCACTCACACACATATGCTGCTGCAACCGTATGAATAGAAAACCTATTGCTGTGGTGCAATGACCCACGCTGCATCACAACTGGAATGAAGCTGGATTTGAATAAATAACATTTCTTTAACAGTAATGCTTAACAAGGGTTTTGAAGTTTGTTTCAATTCACAATTTCAAGAATTTCTCAAGTTCTATAGTTCAGGCAGGGGAAATGTGAGCTACGTTACATGTGAGACAGCTAGAAACTAAAACACTGATGATAGCACAGTCTGCAGACCCAACATATAAATCATTATGGCCAATTCAATTCATGTAAAGAGAACAACAATAAAGGAGAAATTATTGTACGCTACTTTTCTAGATCTACTGGGATTACTGGGATGACTGGACAGTGAACAAGTGAAGATTTCAAACACAAAGTGCTACTAATAAAAAATACTTATATGTTTAATTTGATGATTTCCGAATGTAAAATTAGAGATAATAAAACATACCCTGAGGGGATCCTGGAGGGTGCATAGGAGTTCACCCAACCAACCTACATGTGTTTGGTGGATTTGGAAATGGCGTTCGACTGAGTCCCTTGGGGGACCCTGTGGGGGTTTCCAGGGGTATGGGTACCAGGCCCTCTGATACGAGCGTTAGGTACCTTTATGACCAGTGTCACAGCTTGGTCTGCATTGCCGGCAGTAAGTCGGGCTTGTTCCCGGTGAGAGTTGGACTCCAACAAGGCTGCCCTTTGTCACTAATTCTAAAGTTTTATGGACAGGATTTCTAGGGTGCAGCCAAGATGTTGAGGGCATCTGTTTTGGTGGCCGAAGGATCAGGTTTCTACTTTTTGCAGATGATGTGGTCCTGTTGGCTTCATTAAAGCGTGATGCCTGGCTTTTACTGGAGCGGTTCACAGCCGAGTGTAAAGCGGCTGGGATGAGAATCGGCTCCTCTAAATCCAAGACCCTGGTTTTGAATAGGAAACGGGTAGAATGCCTTCTCCAGGTCAGGGATCAGGTCCTACCCCAAGTGAAGGAGTTCAGTGTTTCGGAGTCTTATTAACATATACGGGAAAAACGGAACATAAGATTGACAGGCGGATTGGAGCTGCATCTGCAGTGATGCGGGCGATGTACCGCTCTGTCCTGGTGAAGAGAGAGCTGAGTCAAACCTCTTGATTTATCAATCGATCTACGTTCCTACCCTCACCTATGGTCACGAGCTGTGTGTAGTGACCAAAAGAATGACACTGGGGTCAAAAGCAGCCAAAATGAGTTTTCTCAGCAGGGTGGCTGGGCTCTCCCTTAGAGATAAGGTGAGACGCTTGGTCCTCTGGGAGGGGCTCAGAGTAGACCTGCTGCTCTCCCACATCAAGAGGAGCCAGTTGAGGTGGCTCGGGCACCTAAATGTTAAATGAGGACTTATGAGGACAGAGGACTCCAAAGCGCTTTACATTAGAGTGCATCATTCAACCATTCACACACGCATTCACACACTGATGATGATGATGAGCTACAGCCACAGTGGCCCTAAGGCACACTGACAGAAGCGAGGCTGCCGAACACAGGCACCACCGGTTATGAGGCCTCCTGTATGCCTTCCCGGTGAGGTTTGCCAGTCATGTCCAACCAGGAGGAGACGCAAAGGAAGACCCAGAGCATGCTGGAGGGATTGTCTCTCAGCGGTCCTGGGAACGCCTTTAGGATTTCCCCGGAGGAGCTGGCTGGGGAGAGTCTGGCCTTGGCGACACAACCCCAAATAAGCACTGGAAAATGGATGCATGGATGGTTGGATGGACATTAAGTTCAGAAACGATAAATAAGACATAAAGCTGCATGATGGCAGTCGGTAGGGACTGTTGCCTTGTGGCTAGAAGGTTGCACGTATAAATCCTGGCTGCTGCACAGAACAAAAACGTTTATTTGACACCCTAAACAAGGGCTATACAATTTCGGGCCTGGAGGGCACATTTTAGTGGTTCCTCTAGTCCAACAAACTAAATTCAGTGGTTGAATCACCTGTGCAGCAGGTCATCAGGCTCTGCAGAAGCCTGTTAATCACTTGCTGATTGAAATCAGGTGTGTTGAAGCAGCGGTAAAACCAAAACGTGCTGGATAGCAGCCCTCCAGGCTCAGAACTGAATAACCCTGCCCTAAACTGTCCCTAGATGATGGACTTTCTAGTGTCCCCTGCCTCTCGCCTGATGACTGCTGGAGATAAACAGCAGCTCCCTGCTATGCTACTCAAGAAAAGGAGTAAGTAAATAGGACAGACAGGGAAGCAGACTGTGTCTCTAACTGAAACAAGCTGATTCTGTGTGTGTTTGAACTGAAGGTCATTAGCAAAAGGCAAGTGCTAATCTGGGGTCGGCAGTATTTGGCAAATAGTGACACAGCTAAACACACACATTTAGAGAAATGTTTGCTGCTGCTGCAGACACTAAATGCTCCTCTCTCCAAAGCAGATCCTTAATTCCAGCTAAACAGCTAAAGCCAGTATCTCTGCTACATCCAATTAGAGGCTCTCTGATTTCCCAGGGCAGGTAGATGACAGCACTCCTTTTTTTTAGGGTAACCCCCTCCAAAAGGGACAGACAATAACAAAGAGAACAGGAACAAGATGGTTTTAGCGACATCTTACCTTTGGTCCAATTATGACCAAGATGTTCAGCAGATTCTTACAATGCCAGTCTGAAGCACAAGAGTGACAAAAATAGTTAGGGGGGGCAGCAATCAGACTCTACACAGCTGTGAAGCTTTGTTTCTAGAAAAATCTTACAAATGTACAGTCTACAGGCACCATATGGCTTTTGGGTTAAGCATGGGTAGTGGACGTGGAAATCCTCACATATCTCATCTGAGCATTAATGTACATTTTGACGCCCCCTAGTGCCGTCTTATTACCATAACTGTATGTAATGAAAGGCAGGTGAAAAATGAAGGAGTGGAAAAAAGCAGTCATGTGCATGAATCAGAATAAATCCACTGCTGGATTTATACATAAATGGGATATTAAATATTATAAAACGCTATGATGGTGACGCACACACCGAACCTTCACAGAGCTGAAAGTCAACAATGGAGCTCCAAAATCATTCTTAATTAACGAGGACATGTCTCTAACACAAGCTACTTTGGGAGTTTACACTACATCTGTCAGGAGTTTGTCCTCGGCATTTTAATTGGTTGTGAGTTACTTTTGTTCATTTTTTCCCATTTTCAGGGCATACATCGCTCAAAATGAAAAAAATAATGTGTTTAAAAATAAACCTGAAAAAACCTCCACCAGATAGAGGGGGTCCTTGACTCTTCTGAGGCCGCAGACCAACAGGAAGACGCGCAGCTTGTCCACACACTTGTTCCTCACACCTGGAGCAGAGCCAGACACACAGAACGACATCGACACAATATCAAAACACTGCATAATGAACATCCCGAGTACATCAGCAGATAATGAAAGCAATACATCACCCAAGGTCATGAGGAAAAGAAGACAGCAGTGACTAATATGCTTGCACAATGCAACAGTGGAACCGTCTGCTGAAAACAGTAGAAGGTTGCAGCCTAATCAGTGGAAAGTGCAGCATCATGACTACACCGTCCGGGGCCATCAGAGGAAAATTTACTCACTGAATCCTTCGCTAGAAGCTCAACATCAGGCTAACCATATCTATTGTTTTGGGGACATTGCTGTTCTTTAGGATTTCCCCAGACAATCCAAGTCTCATGATCAATCTTGAGATTAGTCAAAAACTGGCAGGAATTCAGCTGTTCTGAATGCCAACAACCCAAACTGACCCTGCAACTGCATCACACTAATATACCCATCCTGTTTCTAAAAGCAGCGCATGCATGAACCTCTCAGTCTTATACTTTTGTAGCTGCAGAAGGATAGACATTTAAACAGATAATGAAGTACAATCTTACATTGTTTTAGGGATAATTAAACGTTGATGAAGTTGGCCCAAAAGTGAAGAATAGTGGATTAAAAGGGGTAGAAAGAGTCAAATGTAAGGCATATATTCTATATTTAACTATAAGAAGAAATAGGACTGGTAATTTACATAAATCCTACAGATATTCAGTGTTATACAAACTGGGAAAAACCCAGTTTGACAGTAATTCCACTCTCAGACACTGACACGTGCTCCAAGCGAACACAGTGACAGTCAAGTGAAATCCCCTGCTGCCACATAAGTCCAGATCAGGAGGCTGAAGCAGGTCTTTTAATGCTATTAAGAGCATCTTAAAACGACATTGTCGGGTATGGGTCCTGACCCTGATCCTATGAGCTGATTGTCTGAAAATCTCTTATATTTGAGTGAAAATATTAAAGTTCCTCGAACTGACAGAATTGAAAAATTAAGTTCAGCAGTCAGGTCATGTTAGATAGCTAACTGGAGATACAGAACTAAGAAATAAAATAAATAAATAATCTTTTCAGGACCTTAGGCACAAGTCATCATACTCTGGAAAAACAAAATAAAATAAACAACTAACTATTAGAGCATTTGCATTTGTCTTTGATTTAAAGTAACATTAACATTTTAGGGCATCTGTATGTGTTTTTGTTTACATGGCGGCAGGATTTATGCATCTGTTAGAACCGATTGTTATAATCTATGAAGTGTCGCAGACTGACAGAAAACAGTCCATTTAAGTAGGATGCCTCCCCCAAAAAAAGAGTAAAAATTAATGCACGTCAATGAGGTTATAAAAGCTATTTTCCAGTCCCGTTTGACATGTGCCAAGGATTTCACTTATGATGTCCGTGAATTTTAAAGACACATTTTGATGCCGAGAAAGTGCTTATTTTCAAAAGGTAGCTAAGGTTATTTTAGGCTATGTGTGAAAAGACTTAAAGGACTACAAATGTTTGTCTCATGATATTGAAAATTAGTTTAGCAATCCTTCTTCCTGCAGGGCAGAAATAGCATTAAACGAGGGGAAAATCATTATAAATGTGGCCATGCGGTAAGTAGCATCAACGCTGGGGGAGAAGAGATTTTGTGATGACATCACATATGCCATGTATGAATTGTAGTCTTTTTAAATACATATTTTTAGAAGCTAACAAATCTTAAATTACGTGACAGACATGGTCGACATGCACATCATTACATTTCATTTAAATTGAAGTACAACCTATGCGTGATTCACGGTGTAAGGTAAACTGATGAGAAAATTGCTTTTATAGTCTCATTTGAATTGCATTCATTTTTCTTCAGGGGTCTCGTGAGCCAGCTGGAAAAGGAGGAGACTTGGGCTCCCCATTGTAAAATTTAGTGTTACTTTTCTCCTAAAGCATTTTTCAAACTAATGTTATTGTGTTAAAAAGTTGCACAAAAAAAAGGCAAAAAAGACAAAAGATACATGTGATTTAGAAAACAACAACAAAAAAAAAGCCTCCATGACACAAAATTTTGAGCAAACAAACATGTTTAATAACGAAACATATAAAAAAATAAAACATATATATGTACATATATATATATATATATATATATATATATATATATATATATATATATATATATATATATATATATATATATATATATATATATATAATTCATCACATCTTAAAGGAGCCGCCTCTCATGCCAGAGTTCTAAACTAAGATAATCGAATGATGGAGCTAAAGATATTTTTGTCAAATCTCAAACAAAAACATTAAAGCAGTGTGTTCTGTTAGAGAATGGTGTTTGTGATATGAATGACTCAGCTACAACTGTAGCAAGTTTTACATCTATATCTGGGAAATTCACATAGTTTGAGCAATTTTCATGATAATGGGGGTGATCTTGGACTTTTTGGAGTCTAAAATTCATTCACTTGCATGTGGTTTTGCATGCACAGTGTGGCTTTAACCCCTTAGTTTTCTAGTGTCCTGCCCATGGAACAAAACCCCATTGCATTAATTAAACCTGGAAATGTAAGCAGCTAATGCTGCTGAACTTTAATATTTAAGTTTTTATTCTAAAAAAGAAAATGACAGTTTAATCACGTGTCTCCATTCTGGTAGGAGGGTTTCTTGTCTCTCTTACTGTCACCAGTTCTCTGCTTTACTGGGCCATGCTGAGGTGACATGTTCCCTCCCAAATCTTCACTATGCACGCCTAAACACAACACACTCTAGATTCTGCTCTTTAGATATTATCAATTTATGCCATGCCAGATGGAGGGAAGAAAAAAAACAATATGCTGCATAATGGGTGGAGAAAAGCACACATGATTTGGTGTCTCCTGCTGCGCCACAAGCAGTGAGGAGACGAGGCTGACAGAAGCAAATGCAGGTATGACTGTTACATTTCACAATAACTAGAACAAAATAAAAAACACAGTTGCTGACACAGATGCCTGAATATGAGAAGATCTGACTAGTTAAGACCACCCTCCCATAAAGACAGGAGCAAAGAACATAACCCTTACAAAATCTGCAGCGTTGAGCACATTTCTGTTTTTATAAAGAAGCAGAGAATTCAGTTGGTCTGAATGAAGCTTTCTACTGCACTCACATAAGCAGACTGTGTTGTTAAGTGATGACAAAATTATGACACACCTCTAAATAAAGTAGAATTTTCTAGTGCAGAGTGGAGCCAACCCGGCATAGAAGCACTGATTTGATCTCATTTCAGAGAAGAATAGAACAGGTTAGATGCACCTAATAAATAAAATTACTAACAAACTCAGGAATCTGTTTCTTTGCTTCATTGTTCTGGTGCTGAAAATATCACTAATGCGGATCAAAGGAGATCCACAGATGAATGCACCTCTTATTTATTATTTGGAGTCTACATTTACTGCAGCTGGCAGAGGCAGAGATTTTTTCTATTGATACACGGATTTACAGAATCATTTTAAATTTTAATAGGGGAAGACTGCAGGAGGGAGCGGTAAAATACAGGGGGTCCCCAGCGAAAACAAGAAACTTTACGAGTCTGACGAAACCCGCCGGTGTTCCATCAGGCAGTCACGGGGCAGCTCCAACGACCCAGTGGCTGTGCTGGGTCAATGTTATCGAGCTCAGTCCGGCTCGGCCGTGAACGAGCCGAGGCGACGTCGTGCTCTGCTTAAGAAGAGGTGTTATTTTCCCGCTTCAGAAGAAGCATCCAACGTGTTTTCACCAAGCCCCCACAATGCGGCACAGAAAGTGGTCTCAACCCGGAAGCACCAAAAATTGCAGTTCCACCCTCATCCGCTGGGGGCTGGTATCAGAAGCGAGCAAATCCTCATTGACTCCCATGCTAAAAATACCAATTTCACAGCAGAAATAAACATGTTTACAGCCTGGTTCCAAAACAAGTTTTTTGTTTAAATTACCTAGTTTGCACTCATGACAACTCTGAGGGGGTGAATTTTTTTCTCTCACTCTTCTGTTTAAGTGTATTAAAAGCCTAAAATTCTGTATAATTAATGAGCATCTGACCCACGTGACCACCGCCTCAGACCCAAGTGACCACAGAGCTAGCTCCGTGGAAAGGCCTCAGTAGAGCCTCGGTCTGGCTTGGGAACTGCTCCAGGATTTTGAGTCTCTGTGTTTGTGTATTCTTTTTTGGATATTATTTGTGCAATTGTTGGACAAAATGACTTGCTGTGGCATTGATTGCAATAATAGAGCGTCCAAGGAGTCTCCACTTCATTTTTTTGGGTAAGTAAAATTAAATTTATGTATTTCAGGTCACTGCCGAGCTGAGCTTAGATTTTAACATGTACTGTTTAACCATGACATTTAAATGTAATAGGGTAAACCCCAGTGCATTTAACATAATGCTGCACTTTAGAAAATGGGTTGAAATAAAACATGTTGGTGGAGCTGGGTTCCGACTATCGGCTTGTGGAGCTCTCGGGAGACCGATGTTTTCCACCCGTTCTCGCCTCCCCGCAGCTCGGCGCATCTCTGTCTGATTGCAGCTTCTGTGTGCTGCGCGGGCTGATGGTTGGGTCTCCCGGCAGCTCGGCGCATCTGTCTGATCGCGGCTTCTGTGTGCTGCGCGGGCTGATGGCTGGGTTTCCCGGCAGCTCGGTGCATCTCTGTCTGATCGCGGCTTCTGTGTGCTGCGCGGGCTGATGGCTGGGTCTCCCGGCAGCTCGGCGCATCTCTGTCTGATCGCGGCTTCTGTCTGCTGCGCGGGCTGATGGCTTGTGGAGCTCTGGGATGGAAACCTTTCCACCTGGTTCTCCCCAGTGGCAGCTCTGCGCATCTCAGATCGCAGCGGCGCTTGTCTGCTGTGCGGCTGCCGGCTTGTGGAGCTCTCGGAGACCTCTGTGTTCCACCCGGTTTTACCCAGCGGTCAGCCCGGCGTATCTCTGACTCAGAAGCTCTGGTGTTGTGCACAGTTAACACCGGTTGTAGCTAGGTTGCTACC